AAGAGTTATCGTAATTTGAGATCACTAACACCAAAAATTGAGTTAGTATGGTGTCATGAGACGGATTAGATTATCGCGTCCACACAGGGGCCAGGGAGGTGTGTTTATGGCTCTCTTTAAGGTTAGGTTAGGTTAAGTGCTGTTAGGTGTCTACACTGTTTATATTGTCTACGGACTCACAAATAAATATTATGCCAATTGTAAAACCTGAACTTACACGTGTACAAAACTCACACTATCTCTACAAAAACTTTTTTTTTCAGCCTGGGAGTTAAAAGTTCATGCTTGAATTTTTTGGCCTATACACACTATACTGTACACGTGTTCTTGTTCACACAGGTTCTCAAACACTAAATGAGTCACAACATTAATATGTAAGGATGGAAGACGCTTAGTGGCGGTGCATAGTACAGTAGTGTGTTGACCCTTGGCTCACTGACCTCCTCCCCTCCCCTTACTGCTCCACCTCCAACAACCTCTTTCCCTCCCACCGTGCCTAATACTGGCTTCCCACCTTCAGCGAGAGACTCGGGCGGAAGGTGATCAGTGGCAGAGAATGAAGATAACAGACACACTCACCAACATGTCAACAAACACTAACTGAGCAAAAAGCAATATTGTGATGTGGCTTAAACTGCAGAGAAGCCACACCATGACTCCTGCTGCTGCTCACATGACCTTCAGCGTGTGTCTGCTACAACAGTCATCACCCCCCCATGCCAGTATAAACACTCATCACCTCACCACACAACATTTCACAGCAAAACCTAACCTAACCCACAAAACCCAATCATCCACGTTTAACTGGAGACCAACGTGTGTGTGTGTAAAGACTTAGAGACACCCACACCGTACAGGGTAGTATAGACTCTGACCAACTACTGTAACGAGTGGTGTTGGGTTAATTGAGCCAACAGGACCAACAGTCTCACCCAACACCGTCCATAGTTAATGCCGCCAGCAACCCCTCTGACACACGTTACCGAGAGGACAGTTACAGCAATATAAAACTGGTGATGGAGGCCTTGCTCTCTCTCTCCCCCGTGTAACAAATAGTCAAGTCTTAAAAACAAATAAAATGTTGCGGGATATGTCAGATGGCGATATTGGGCCTCGCTCCCCGACTCTTCCATAACATCCACCACAGACGCACTGGCACACTCCTCTCCACCGTCGCCAGAAAAGTTAAAAGTCCGACACAACTCTCTCCACACACACACACACACACACACATATAAATTGTCCTATCCTGACAAAAATTTACACAATCCATTACAATCTGAAAGCAATAACAAGAGCAAACACGTTCATTAACTTTCTGATAACAACAAGTATAACGCCATTTGAAAGAGAAATACACAGAATTTACATATTAGATTACTGTAAATAAATGCAGCCCGGCCCGTGTTATATACAGCATGCATACTGAATCCCAAGTTACAGTAATTGTGATTATTGGCCACTGTTGTAACCAGCTCTCGGTACACTGAGGAGAGTGACTTTGTGGGTCTTCTTCTTCCTCCTCCTCTTCCTTCCTTCCTTCCCCCACAATTTTTTTCCCGTGTTGGGACTCACCACCACCGCTCACACCACACCACCACCACACTTCCACAACGACACTATCACCCATACCACACCACTAAACCCACCCCACAGCATCACACATGGAGGTGAATATAATGAATTAAAGTAAACCAAGGTAAGAACATCATGGCGGCGTGGCGTGTGGCTGAAGCTCAACAAACTCTACCGGTGACGGCAGCAACAAGTGGCACTGAGCAGGAGGACGCACTAAGGCCAGGAGACACTCGGTACCTTCAGGCAGTACAATACTACACTCACTCGTGGGAAACAAATAACAAAAATAGGTAAAACCCTAAAAGGCAGAGCGTGAGTGGCAGCAGAAGAGCATCCCAGAGTACCACCTGCCATGACGTAACACAACTACTAATGTTTCCCACACAACCCTCACCTCAGGAGTGTGGGTGACCGGATAAAACCCCAACGGACAAAACCCCAGTCTTATATATAAAATATAAAATAAAACACTTTTAAGCTTAGCTTAGGTTAGGTTAGGTTAGGTTAGTGACAAATGACAACCCCGTTGGGGTTTTGTCATGGAACCGGAGTGTGTGTGTGATGGCTGCGACTATCGTACCCTTGCCTCTCCCCGGGGTCGTACTGGGGCGCCTTAATAACCCAACATCAAGTTGCACTTGGAGGTGAACGACAACGGCCAACTTGCACTGAGAGATAATTGCTGACGTGCCAAAACGGAATAGTCGTGAAAGGAGAACTAGCGTGTTGAACTGTACTTCGGGGTCGCCGCCAAAGATTTACATACAGTTCCAGACCAAACAATACACCACCTCCGCTACCCCAAACGCAGGGGGTGAGGGCGGGGAGAAGTGGGACATGTCACACCATGCTTCCGATATCACCCAGAAAAATGGTAACCAGTCGCCTATGAGTAGCGAGCAGAGGGGGAGAGGTCTTTCAGCGGGCCTTACTAGCTGACTACACCTGACTTGGCTACCCTGACAGCGGTGACAACTCCCCTGCAAAATATTACACAACTGTCTTAAAGGTGAACTCTCTCTCTCTCTCTCTCAAACTTTAGCGGCCTTACGAGAAGCACCCTCACCCCGCCCCGCCTCCAACACGTCCACCAAACTACCCAAGTGTCCTCACCACCGTCACCAGCTCGGGTCTGGCCCAAACTATAATTGTGGAGTGATGCTGGGTGTGTTTAGCGTCGAGTTTGAGATGTGTGTGTGTGTAAGATAACTAACTGAGGCAGGTAACACCAACACTGACCTCAAGCCACGGCAGAGACAACCACCTGTCCACCTCAACACACACACACACACGGGTAAATTCTCCGTTTTATTGGATCACATGTCTCACTTATCAGTTTCATTCTCATTTAATGTTTTCTTTATAATGAGAGAGAGAGAAATGAACACTCAGCTCTCGTCAAACAATTTCATCGAGGTTTGGGTTTAAGAAATATGTGATAAAACAGCATTTTTTTCCACTTTCTCTGTTGCTAATACGAGGTGGAAAATGTCGCATATTTTACACACACACAAACCCACTCACAGACACAGCATATATTAACACAGACACTCTCTACACCCACAGCATAAGAGCCCTGAATACATACACATACCAACACTACACCCACAGCATAAGAGCCCTGAATACATACACATACCAACACTACACCCACAGCATAAGAGCCCTGAATACATACACATTTAACAGGTATTGTTAAAGCCACTTACCCACCCACTACACCATCCTGTCACTGAAGCAGATTACCGCCTGGCTATCGAGACATAAACCCTGAACGATCCAGGCTGGGAGAGTGAGGGAACCTAACCCACAACATGACGTTCACATAAACTTCTTGACCAAATTAATTACAACCAAAGCTCCTCAACCTATCATGAAACTATCTAGTAATTTGTATTAATTCCTCATCTCAGAATTATTATTGTATGTTGTGTGGGTCTTGTTATTACCCTGCGGGAGTTAATTATGTATACTGTCGAGTGTTGTTTTAATGGCTGCCACGTCACTCCCTTGTGCACGTCTAAAATACCAGTGTTGAGGAGCGCTAAACTAATGACTTGGAATTTGTTTTAATGATGAGTGGATTGTGTAAAATGCCGCCCTAATCACTGGTTAGTTCCTGAGTGTGTGTGTGAGCGAGCCAGAGAGAGAGAGATATATTGTACCTATTCAACTCACCTACAGTTAGTCTGACAATAAACATTACCTGTGTTAGAGGCAGGGAAGGTAAACAGGTCTGCACAGTGACAAGGGTATGCACGCACACACCAGGATCCAGCCTAGTATGTTACTATCCTACTGACCTCAAACAAACACACAGCAGCCACCCTCTATCTGCTTTATCTAGACACAATGGCCCAGACCACACACAGGAAAATTAGCAACAAAGGCTTTGGAAAGGTAAAATACCAAGAAGAGGAAGAAGAGGATGAGCAACTCTTCAAGAGGTAAATACTGGGAGAGCGATAAAAAGTTCATACTTAAAGTGGTGGTGGCCAGGCGGACGGGTGGAGGGAGGGAGGAGGGCACACCTGCAGCATGCACACCCATCTTTCATGGTGATCCGTGGTAATGTGAGGATTCATCTTCGTAAAGCGCCACAAGTGGGATGATCGATGAAGCCCGGTCATTACCGCCTCCCGGGCCAAGCGTCACATACCGAGACGCTGCCGACGCACCTCCACCCGCAATGTGAGAGAGGTGGGGGGGGGGCAAACCTGGTGTTTTAAGTCTGAAGCTTCCATGCTACAGTTTAGATGTTGGTGTAGGGCATTGAAGTACCTACTGGAACAAGGGCTGGCATAGGGAGGAGGGGAGGGGGTGATATGGCCTTAGTTGCTGAACCAACTTTCAAAATCCAATAACAGGACAGGTGTAAGCGCTGAGGGATCAACTGTGACATGGGATTTGAAGAAAAGTCGGGTTGGCGACTCATAATGAAATTGACACGCGGATTACAGTGTCAAAAACCAATACAAAGATACAGTATCCTTATTATGAAAAACCCAATCAAGACTTCCAAGTACAGTATTATGAAAAATTTATCAAGTCATGTTTGTCATTAAAAGTCAATCAAGGTTTATGGGATTTATTACCACTCCTCTTACAAGGTTCACGATCGATGATAACCATTAAGATCGCCCACATTATTAACATCATTATAAATCACTGCACCATAATCTGCTTCACCTGAGCCCCCCCATCCCCCTCCTCTCTCTCCTTTCCAGCACCAGTCACCTTACAGTTCCAGCACCAGTTTCTCTCCAACAGTTCCAGCAATGCCAGTCTAACCCTTAAAGTTCCACTGGAGCATGAACTCATCCTCCAAGGTCTAGATCTAATCTGCCCCCCCCCCACCCACTGCCAAGTTACAACTCCAGAATCCCCATGAAAAAAGGTCACCTCTTGATTAGGTCACATCATTAGGACAAGCAACCCTTCATTTTAAACCCCGCCTCCCACACCTCATGCCAGCAGTCCACCTCTACAGAAACAAAACGTCCAGGAGCAAAATACTGTAGCCAAAGTAAATAGCCAACTGCAAAGGAACAAGAGACAATATGAGTTTCAAGTACCCAGGCAATCAAAATCCCATTCAGCTTCACCCACAACCAATCCCAGAGAAGAACCTGGTTGTGAATGCCACCCACTGCCTGTTGCTAATGGACCTTATATGGGAGGCTCGGGGAGGAGTGGTACCACGGCCTGACACTGTTCTCTGCTAAATGGTGGATTAATTGTCACTGGAACCCTCACCTCTCCTCCACTCACAGTTCACTATCTCTCATGCAAGTGTGTGGACTCCAGTAAAGGTATACAGCTAGAGAACTGGATGAGGCGACTACTGTAGATAATAAGTGGGAGACTCACAATTTTCCAGAATATCAAGAGAACTACAGTAACTCTTTGGTGGTAACAGAGAAAATCCTTAAATATAAACTGAGTTTGTAATTTGTTAAATGAATAATAATAGCAAATGATAATAACATTAATAAAAGACACAAAATAGGGGAAGAGTAAAGGGTAGACAGTTGCAAAATACTAAAATAAAAAATCTTGCTTCACAGGAAATTAAAAACAAAGTTCGGAATTGTCTTGTAAATAAGAGAGTACTGTACTGTAATATGAAAGACACTGGAAAAAGAGAGCAAAAGATACAGTGACAGCTGGTCAACTGCATGCTCCGAAATACCTGTATAGTGGCCTCCCTTTTCGTATTAATGACACTACTGTACCCTTATGACACTACTGTACTCTTATGTATAAAATGAAGTCAAAGGGAAGCTACAATCACTGAGAAGAAACTAAATACTATACAGTAACTGTACTGTACTGTACCGGGTTTAACCCTGAAACCATCAAAGTTAATTGTCACATTACAGTACACAACTGTACTTGATCTCTATTTTCATATGGGTAACACTCTCCAGGGGGGCCATGGTGTATTTCTTGGGGGCCATTGTGTATTTATCGGGGGCCCATGGGGGTAATTTGAACCATGTGAGTTAATACTAAATTAAATAAGGCTTGACCCTCATAGCAGTGCCAGAGTTTAAACCATTTAAGCTAATTTTGGTGGACATTATTATTACAGTACATGATATATTTGAATGAGTAAACTGTAGTTTGTCCCACAACTGTATCAGAAAAATCTTTAATCAAATCTACAAGTATCCTGTAGCATGATGGTGTGTCAGCACAGAATGCTCTCATAATTTGAACCTATCTTAAAATTATTCAATGGATGACAGATTGAAGAAAGGATTCATATGGCATGGCCACCTCATAACCCTGACTAGTGAACATGTGATAATTCACTCTGAGACATTGTGAGAGAGATTTAACAAACACGGCTAATGAAAGTTGAGGACTTATAAACAGCTATTGGGGATTGTACAGTATTTATGAAACTCGTTCTTCATCATGGAAGAAAACATCTAAAAGAACTTACACATAGATAAAACACTGTACTATACATACTGTATTGTACTGAGAATGGAGGTTAACACACAGATGGACTTCGTGTCCACTCTGAACACCAACATCCAAAATATTTACATCATACTTTTTGGTAACTTTATGTGTGTTCAAGATTAAGAGCCTGTGCCTGTATATCCAGCCTTACATTGTATTATATGACAAGATGATGCTATAGCGAGATGGCTAGAGGCATCACAACACATTTAAAGTTTCTGTAGTCGAATACGATACTGGAAGTAACTACCGTATTTACTTTCCTCCCCTGTCACTAGTCGGGCAGTCGGTCATTTCTTTTACAGGGAAAGTGGGCAGTGAAGGGTGGTGGTTTAGGCAGGAGGTGGGCAGTGTGTGCTGGGTCAACAACCATCAAACAAGAGGGGCAGACGATTGTACTGTACTTTACAATATGTACAGAGTCCGGTTATGCTAAATATGGCTTTGCCAATCAAAACTTTTATTAATTATAATATGATTACAGCATAAAGAACACTGCAGATATTATACTAATCCAAATGAAACTGAACAGACAGCAGTTCTTAACTTAAAATCCAAGTGCAAAATTCAAGATGGAAGCTATCAAACCCCTTGTGGCCATGAGAACATTTTGTTTATCCCTTGTAAAATACTGTAGTAATTTCCATACACAAAAATACAGTGACTCTACTCCACAAGCAACCTAAAAGCCATCTACACAAAACTAAGTACAATACAGTACCTACTGTAAGCTACTATTTATATGTCTAACTTATTATGAACTGGACATACCTAAACCAACATGAACTGGTATGACAATTTTACTGAATTAGGACCCCAAAGGTAGCTGTTTTCTTGGGCTATCATTGGTTAAATCAAATAACAGTATGAACAGTACTGTACTACAGTATTTGCCAGTGTTTGTAAAGTACAGTATATAATAATTCCAGTCTAGATACATACTGAATCAAAGTGAAGTTGAAGGACAATTTTACTGAATAAATAAATATCTAGCTACTTCTCTATCTACCTTCAATAATCTAGCAACTGGTAAATATTCAGGGATGACTCTATGAGTTTGCCCTTATAATATAAACACCATTTTCTGTGGCACAAATTTCTATGAGGACAGGTTTAGGAGGAGCAACTATAACAATACTGTAACACACACTGATGATTTAAGATAGTTTACCTGTACAATATACAGTATTAACACATAATGAAATTGATTGTTAAGGGTTAGGAGAACCTTAATGAATAAAAAAGAATTAAAATAAATCAACAATGCAGGATAGGATAAGAGAGAGAGATGAGAATGACTGACAAATATCAATAAAAATAAACCCAAAATTTAAATACCGGTTCTCTACAGTATCATTCTCTTGAAGTTAACTGTAGTAATTAGGATGTCTTGGGTGTTGTGATTATCCCGTCTGAAGTCACAATCATCTTTATGTACAATAATACTCTTTACCTTTACAGTACTCTTCACCTCTGATTGGATAATTACTGTAGGCACTATCCTTCACTCAATATATTTTATGTATACTGTGCTGTAATACACTCACTAATGTACTGTAATGTCCAAATTACTGGAGTGAGAACTATAGTACACTGCACTGTACCAGGTAATAAATATTTATGAACTTAGGAACAACTGATAATTTTTGAACATGTGGTTGTAAGGGTGTTTGGTCATCTGTTACAGAGAGCGAATGATAGTGAATCAAGTGATGGTTTGTGTTTGCTTGATTCTGGTCCTCTTGCATCTTGGAAGAACTTAATTTTTAAAATCTTCCAATAATACTAGTAACTGTATTAAACTACAACATAAGAGGTCACAGTGAATTCTCAAATTCAATCAAGAGCAAATGCCTTAAAAATTAAATGAGTTTTCCTGCTTTTTAAAAAGTGTGTAATCCACTTGTTTTTAACACTTTAACTGTTATCATCATCTTCAGATAATTTATTGATTTATGACAAAAGCACCATTGCCGTCTTAAGACGATTGGCGCCATGAATTTAAAGTTGTGCGCCAAAAATTATAAGAATGGGAAGATGACCACTGGCAGACACTCAAGAGTGAGACACAAGGCTGGTGGAGCCTCAGAATCAATATGTTATCATCATCTTTGAATTATTTAGAATTGTTTATGCTGTATCACCCTCCTGTCCTCAGTGGCCCCTCACCACACCTATGATGGCACAGACTGCCTCACCACCTACACACGAACTTACCACCCATTTTGCACCACAAAATCCCACTGCTGCAACACCACAACCATGTCATTTGTCACCACAACTACCTTCACAGACTTATAACCCACCACCCGTGATGAGTACTGAGCAAAGTTTTTATGGTTTCTAAATTTTATATCTTCAATTTATTAAAAATTTTACTTTCATTCGTCATGTTTTTTACGGCACTTCTACATTAGTAATATACAAGAACAGATAGAGCCAGTAGTACTTACTTTGACGAGATACATAGAGTGGGGTGCGCTGCGATGCTCCAATTAACATGATAGTTAGCAGGTGGGGATAGGTTGTCTCTAAGGCAAGGCATAGTGTCTGTAAGAAAAGAGACACGAAAGTCGTCAATCATATTATTAAGGTACAAAATAATGTACAAATTATAAACAACATCAGCTATGTAAAAAAGAATGACACATAAGATGTAATTTTCGCATTTCTTTCACATGACAGTGGAGGAAATCTTAAAAGACTAAAATATATAAAGTTACAGTACTTCATCCCTTGGATACTAATATAAAATCTATTCAGTAATTATCCATATTGTATTACAGTGGTAGACACTCAAGTGGCAGACTGGCAATTAATAAGTTGCCTTCAGATGTCTCTCTACATTTGTCTATGACATACGGTACAGTATACTGTATAAGATCTGAACATGATATCAAATGAGATACACAGCCATTCATATATAAAATTAACCCTATCAACCCTAAGTAAGGTCTATTTTGGCATCCCCAAACCTCAGTGTTCTTTAAATATCATGAAAAAAACAAATGCTTTAATAATTAATACAAAATACTGTTGTCATAAAAAATCCAAAAAACAAATGACACCTTGGTTAGCAGCTTCAGTTCATTGATATTTCTTTGTGGTAGCTATGACAGTTTGGGCCACTGATATGTTGTTCATATGCTCACACTAATTTCTATTATCATCAAATTCCTCTACATCTCTACTTCCATCAAATTTTTTTTTATTTATTCCCACAGTGCCAAACATTTATGGGTACTACTATAGTGTATGGTCTACAAAGATATCCTTAGTCTAATCTAACCTAACCTGGCCTAACCTGAATATCTTGTAGACCGCACGCTATAGTAGCAGCCATTTATGTTTATGTCTACCAGATCTACAGGGATCATTGTCAAGGCTGCCAGATGCACATTCTGATAAACATCCTTCCTCCATGGTGTCTGTGGGTAACTGATCAGCTGTGAAATTTCTGAGGGTTAATTATATTATTCTTGGTGTTTAAATTTTAAAGTTAGCCATAGAAAATGTAGTTATTTTTCAGGCGACTACAATAGCCTGGACCATTGCCACTCATGGCTGCTTTACTTCTAAAAATTGGACCAGTAATTTTTCACTTTAGCCTTACTTTAACTCATCTGTAGTGTGTACTGTACTGCACTATATATACATGTACTGTATTTCTCAACATTAAATAAAACCATTGAGCCCCTCTTAGTGTGTATTTAACCATTTTTAGTGTGTACAGTACAGTACAGCATTTGCTGACCTTCAGACCTAGTGGTAAATTTAACATGCACAGTATATGTACAGTACAGTATGTCACACTTTAACGTGTCTATGCAGTTCCTGGTGGTACCTAATTCGTGTTGTCAAGTGACTCATCTGTATAATAACAATTAACTCACCTGGAATGCCTGAGAACCCTTAGCTGGTAATATATCTAAGAGTGTATGTATTCTCTGTCCAGGGGACGGATGTCTACGGATGGCATCAACATCCTCAGAGGACACCAAACCAGTGTCTCTTAGGAATGGAATGATTCGCTCCACATCAATCTGAAATATAAAATAACAGCTACAGTTAAAAAGAAACAATCCTTGTGGGGGCAGAATAAAAGTTATAAACAGGCACAGTATGTATAAATATTTAAGTAGATAAAGGAAGATCTAATATGTTCAACACCTGAAGATGAAGCTACTGCTCACAATTACACGTAATATGTTATTACAATCAAGGGAATGTGTGCAGGGGTCAAATGTTTCATTAAATTTCTCCAGGTCTTATTTATAATAATCCAGAAAAATTTAGCTCAACATATTAACATAACTGACATTCATTCTGTACAGTACGTACCATTATCTCACATGCCGTGCGCATAATTATGACCCACTACCCAAAAAAAAAAAAATATTAATACTGTACTGTATAATATTTCCCCTTGTTAATAATTTACTAAAAATAACAAAATATATAAATTAAACCGTCATCTAAATGCCTTTTTAATGTAGACATTTGATAAATGTAATAAATCTAGCTGTAAAAAAGTTACCCCAGTAGTAGCTACTACATTCCTGCTATGGGAAAAATACATTTTGAATTGAAACCGGTACATTGTGATTAAGAGACCAGTAAATTCTGGCAGCAATGCAATGCAATTGTATAATTTGACTAGGTACATGTATACAGTTCATGAGCCATCCAATCAAAGTTCAGTCATAAAAGGGGATTTCAGGTTAAATCCTTCATTTACGTTACCATAACTTCTGAATACAGTACTGTACCAAACTGTACTGTCTCAAGAAATCAGCTAAAAACCCAGCAGGGATGATCACATTAGCTGCACTATTATGCACCTCAGTTTTTGCTTTGGCCTTTGTTCTAAAGGATAAGCAAAGCAACACAGTATTGAGCATCCTCTGTGTCCACAGATCTCTTCAAGTTCCAAGGATCTGCCAATTATGGTCTAATTTTGAAGCAGACACATCAACTACCTTGAACACTGTACACAACCCAATAATTGGCAAGATATAAAGTAAAAGGAAAACATATAAAACAAAGCTCTCCTCATGGCCAGGTTGCAAGCAGCAATCTGTTAGGAAACCAGCTGCAAGCACTTGCACTAAAACTCGCCCTAAAAACAATATAACTTTGAGACAGTGTTACACCTTTTCAAAGATAGAGCAGAACACCTTCATGTAAACACTGTACTGTACTGTACCAGTATCTGATCTTAATTTCAACTTGTCATCATCATTATCAATTTCCTCACTACTATGGAAATCAAGGCTTTCTGGAGCAATTGCTGTAAGCTTTCGTATGAAAAGGTTACTGGAAATATTCATATGTTGATAAGTGTTTGTTTGTAAACAACCTATCTAGTGTATGATGGTGTTGGGTGAACAAGGGGTAAATCTTTCCATTTGTACAACACAGGATCTTAAGAAATTTATCTTTGCAATCAAAAGTTTCAACAATTCTAAGACACTTATCTTCTATGACATTTCCCTCGCAAATGACCTAATCTTATCTCCTAACTGGGGAGCCAGGATCCCCAGCATATATAAGTCATTTGCGAGGGTTTTTTCATAATAGGAGATTAGGTAAGGATTCACTTAATGCCCAACTCATTTTTCTATTGTACTGATATATATAGTTTTTTCTTGTCATTTGCTGTGTGATTTTAACAAGTATGACATTTATTTTGGGGCTAGCTAATGCCCATTTAATTTAACGACATATGACCCCTTTAACACTAGTAACGACAATGCCTCCATGATGTACTGGACATAATCACAGCAACGTTGGCGGCACCTGAGCTCGGCTCTTCCAACCATAAATGAATGTTCAGGACAGATAAACTTGTAAAATTATATTACAACAAGCATTTTCCTCATCCAATTTTGGCCTTTTCACGAGGTAAAGAAAAAATCAATAGTGAAATATTCTCAAGTTGCCTGGTCAAACGTGCAACAAGTACAGTACTGTATAGTATAAACAATTACCCATAAATTCTACTGGGTTTAGTGTCCACAAAATCATCACCACCACCAGTGTAATGGTGTCCCTCTTGTAAAACTACAGGTCTCTGGCCACAGCCTTAATGTATTATAATACTAATACACTACTACAAAATTAAATTTAAACGAGTAAAATAGAATGCGTCGACTAACCTGAGCGAATTTGTTGCGATATACAAGCAGTAATTCCTTCAGTCGTTCATCCATCTTGTTGCTGTACATAGTGACTGTGATTGCTTAGGACGGATGATCACCAGCTGCCATGCACTAATATACACTGACAGTCCAGTTATACTTATCAAGGCACTAAGTTCTACCGGGGTCAAAAATGACCATGGTTTACATAAACCATATTGAAGTTTGTAACTAAAAATACATCTTTAGTTCTCATATGTATGAGTTTTTATTAAACACTAACACTGGAGTTACTTTCTTCTCGTCTTAGCACTTACAATGTAGCAGGGTGAGAAGAACTCAGACTGGCAAGTTCCTAGTTCCAATGTCATTCTTTCTGTGATGGTGTCTCAAGCTGTTCACAACACTTGCTACCTTCCTGCTGGGGCACTATGCCAGGTGTGCACCTAATTCAGTGGGTTGTGAAGTGTGAGGTCTTGGAGAGAGTAGTGCAGGTCACTAGATGACTCAGGCCTGACCTTTCCCTGGCCTGTGGAAGGCCTGGCCAGCGCAAGGATACTGTTGCTCTTACTTTCTTCTCACTTCAGTAACTCACCGCTGTGCCAACACTCACAACAGTTCCTCACAACACAACACTACACCTTGCCACAAGTATGAGTGGCAGACGCCTCACAACAAGTGCCACAACACCTGTGCTAATTGTCGTCTTCCTTTCCCTGCACCGTTGGTCATTCAACGATGTTGACATTTACAACACTATAAATTCTTCTTTCGAAATAACTTTCTCTTGCACTTGATGGTATCACTGAAGAGATTACAACATAATGTATGACTCTTTGAAATATAACTACTTTGTTTCAACTACCACTACGATTTCCAGACGTTCAAAATTAGCGAATTAGTGACATTCACTCTCCATCTTGCTTATGTTTGGTAGTTAGTCAGGTGCTGAGTAGATGGCGGGCAGTGTACCACCCACCCGGCCCTCACCCGCTAACTTCAAACAGGATTCATTTACTTTATTTCTTTACGCAATATCCCTAATATATTAACACTCTGAACTATAATCTTAGTTGATCCTCCTCACTCAACAGAGTAAATACTCGATCTCAAAGTTTGTTTCCGAGGTCATCTGTTGCTATAGTATTTGTAAGTTCATGTTTTACAACTGTTAATTCAGATTCTAAAATACCTTGTATTGCCTTTCGTAAGTTACCAACTGAAAAACTCTATTAGAAAAGATCGGCCAGAATATAATACTAGCCTCAACCACAAGTATAGTTAATCTGCCGCTGACGTACGGGCCAGGTTGATGCTGTATTACCTTACGCCTTGAGGTAACTACAATAGATATTACGATTAAAACAGTTACTATCTAGAGAACTGTGAGGGAATTTTTTTCGGAGTGAGAAGTGCAAACTCTTGGAACAATCTGCCAGAGAATGTTGTGATGGCATCGAGTGTGAGCTCATTCAAGGCCAGACTTTACCAACATTGGAGTAGATTCCAATACATTCGGAGCCAGTGCAGACCCAGTAACTGTCACAGTGCGTAACAGAGTGACCGACCGCCCAAGCTAACAGGCCGATCAGTAGCGAAGAGAATAAAGGTAAAGTAAAAGTAAACCGCATTACTATTGGCTCGTAATTCTAATTCGTGGTGTTATGGTTAACATTCTCGCCTAGCAAGCGAGCAGACCCGAGTTCGATCCTCTGGCTGGGTGAAACCATGTGTGTTGTCTTTATGCCATTTGCAAATGGCCTCTGTCTACCAAGAAGTATTTGGGAACCTGGATGTTAATCGATTTGCGGATCGTATTCCGGGGTAATGGTTAGCCAGTGCAGTTGGCGGTCTTCTCGGACTATTCCTTGACACCGTGCCATGCAGCTCGTTAACTTAGGGCGTGGTTGTTGTGTTGGCGACAGCTTCTACTCCTTAAACAAATTCACGCCTAGGAGGCCCTTGGGCCGGCCATCCTCGATTTAGAGGGGCTTCCATTAATTACAGTAGTCAATATTTATCCAGCAAAAATTTCCTGAGTTAAACGTGTTACTGATTTGAAAAATATTCCATTTTTCTTAGCTAGAAATAAATGCGTTGTTACTAATATTATGATTTTCCTATGAGATAAGAGTATATTAGAAATATTGGTAGCATTTTTTTGACATAGCTCTGTGGCTGTGTTAATATAAAATATCTTCACACCCTCGGGTCACGCTACCTACTTTCCTCACTCTACGACTTGACTACTATTTTTACTTTTTACTTTTATCCTCTTCGCCGCTGATCGGCTTGTTAGCCGCTTGGGCGATCGGTCACGACTCTTTTCCTTTATATTCTTCACCAAAAGGTCGGCTCGCTAGCCGCCCGGGCGATCGGTCACGTCTCTGTCACGCACTGTTGGCAAATACTGGGCATGCACCGGCTCCTGAATGTACCTGAACCCGCTCCAGTGTTGGTCAAGTCTTCTCTTGAAAGAGCTCACACTCGGTGCCGTCACAACACTTTCTGGTAGATTGTTCCAAGAGTTTACAACCCTCACTCCGAAAAAGTTTGCCCTCACGGTTTTCCGGACTTGCGGCTTCTTCAATCTTGAGCTGTGACCCCTTGTGGGGCGAGCGTCCGCCAGCTCCAAGTAAGGACACTCAACTGAGTAGTGCCCCCTGAGATGCTTATAAACCTCAACTAGGTCCCCCCTTGCCCGTCTGTAGTATAAGCTAGGCAAGTTCAGGCGCTCCAATCTCGCAGGGTAGCTGAGATGCCGAAGTGCAGGCACCAGCTTGGTGGCCCTCCTTTGAACATTTTCAACCAACTGACAGTCCCTAGCATATCTCGGGGACCAGATGGGGTGACAGTACTCCAGATGGGGAAGCACTTCACTCCTGAAGATCGTCACGAGGGACGGACCGTCTAGATATCTGAACGACCTTCTTATAAGACCCAATAATTTATTTGCCTGATTTACCTTCTTCTCACAATGGCCCGAGAACTTCAGCTCATTGTCAACATACACACCTAGGTCCTTCTCACACACAGTCTCAACTAGTACATTTTCTTCATCCCGTTGGGACATATGGTACGCCTCCTTACCGTTGGTACGCCCCAGGTGCATCCTCTTACACTTCGTGACATTGAATCTCAGCAGCCATTCCTTCGACCATTCCTGGAGCCCACAGAGGTCCTTCTGCAGCTCTTCACAGTCCGCTTGGTTCTTAATTTCCCGAAATAACTTGGCGTCATCGGCAAACATTTGTATGGAGGAGTGTACAACGTCAGGCATATCATTTATGAAACAAACAAACAACAGCGGGCCCAATACACTACCCTGCGGTACCCCACTTGTTACAGGTACAGATGACGATTTCGTGCCATTAATCACCACACATTGCTTGCGGTCATGTAGAAAGTCTTCTATCCACGCTAGGACATTTCCCCGAATTCCGTACCCTTCCAGTTTGATTTTCAGCCTTTCGTGGGGTACACTGTCGAAAGCCTTGGCAAAATCTAGGTAAATATTGTCGATATTACCACCCCGTTCTAGAATATGGGTCCAAATATCCAATACCTTGAGCAATTGTGTCAAGCAAGAGCGCCCCGGCATAAAACCGTGTTGGCAATCTTTTACAAGGTTGTTTCGTAGTAGATGTTCCATCGCTGCATCTCTGATAATACTCTCAAGTACTTTACATATTATGCTGGTCAGGCTCACCGGTCTATAGTTGTTCGTGGAGTGCCTATCGCCCTTCTTGAAGATAGGACTCACATAAGCCACTTTCCATTCACTGGGGACCATTTGTTCATCCAGGCATTTACAAAACAGAATCTTCAGGGGCTCTGCAAGCTCGTTGCACAGCTCCCTTAGCACTCTAGGATGCACCATGTCAGGTCCAGGACTCTTATGGACCTTTAGCCTGGACAGTTTATTTCTAATACCCTCTTCTGTGAACACAATGTGGGTCAGTGCTGTGTCGAACCATCTGTCCTCAAACGCAGGAAGGTTAGTTGCATCCTCTCTTGTGAACACTGAGGAAAAGAAGCTGTTCAATGCCTCAGCTTTATCCTGGTCAGAATCTGCGTAACTACCATCTTCAAGCCTCAGGTCTGATACTCCTACTCGCGTTTTCAATTTCGACTTTGCATAGCGGTAAAACGCCTTTGGGTTTGACTTGACCTCGCGTGCAACCAGCCTTTGGAACTCCTTTTCAGCCCTCCTACACTCTATCTTTGCTTGGTTTCTGGCTCTTGCATACATCCTCCTGTCTTGCTCATCGTTTGACCCAACCCACGTCTTGAATTTCTGGGTTTTCTTCTTAATTTTGTCGACCGCCGCATGGTTCATGTGTAGGGATCCCCTCGTATTCCTAGAAGCACTGGGTTTGGTCTTGGGTATATATTTATCGATCAAATGGGTCATTTTACTAGTTATGATATTCAGCGTAGTGTCTGCGTTCTTGTACCTTAATAAGTCAGGCCAGTTGATACCCCTCATCTCTTCCCTCATCCCATTGTAATTTCCCTTGTAATATTTGCACCTTGGCCTGGCCTTATCTTGAACTAGGTAACAGTTAAATCTGAATGACAACACTGTATGGTGACTGGTGCCAACTGGGGCAAGGTGTTCCAGTTTGGCCACCATACCCTCCTCGTTTGTTATGATGAGGTCAAGTGGCTTGGGTGTTTGTTCCCCTCTGTAATGTGTCGGGTCTCTCACATGTTGGAACAGAAAATTATCTCTCAGAGTTTCTACAAAAAGAGTAGCAGGATTATTCAAGTCATTCGGGGTTGACTCGTTTCTCCAGTCGATGTCGCCATAGTTAAAGTCCCCCATGATAAGGAGGTGGCTGGGGTTGAGCATCGCCGCATTGTTTATTAAGGTTCTTAAGTTCCTTTGATTTAGTGGGCCACAGTTCGGGGATCTGTAGATACACCCGACGATAAGTAAGTCCCCTCCCTTTAATTTAATTTTACACCACTTGGACTCTTCAAAGACATCCTCTCCCTGTACCCTCGCCTGGCTGGCTCTAAGGTCTTGCCTAGCGTAGATAACCACACCCCTCCTGCAGGATTCTTGAGTTAGGTTCGTAAATGAGTCATATCCAGCAATACTGAACTCACATTCCTCTGGGTCGATTCTCCTGTTCTTGTACAACAGTTCTACAACTCCTACAATATCTGGTTGGTGTACTCTTAGTAGTGTTTCAAACTCCTCCCTCTTATCAAGGAACGTGTCGGTATTAGTGTACATGACATTCAAGCCAGAATTTGTTCTCGGTAACGTCTCTGCTCTTAGTAATAAACCCGCTCCACCCACATTCTCAGAAGCTGCAGCATTTGCTAAGTACACTGTATTTTGCAGGGTGTGGTTAAAAATTTCATTGTTTACACGGCGCTCGTTCCCTCCTGTCCGGTAGGCTGAGCTGGTGCCGCCTCCCGGGTGGGGGGTTGAGTGGGTGGAGGGTGCACTGCTGCCCCCTGGCCCTGTGTCGGCACACTTGTTTCCACTACCCTCCCCCTGAGTATAACCCATGTGCACCTGTCCCCGTTCCTCCTCGACTCCTCCCTCTTCTGCTTCAAGTCCAGCAGGAGCTTCTTGTGCTGTTCCCTCTGCATTACCGTGCGGTCTGGGTGAATAAATACATCTCGAAATGCCTCGCTCCTTGCTAAGTTTTTTGCCTGCCGGATAACTTGCCATTTTTCCTCCTCACTCCCTAGTGTGATCCTGAGGGGGCGAGGCTTAACCCCCTGCTTTTGTCCCAGTCTCCTCACATCCTGAGGGGTTGCTGGAATCTTCAGAACCTCTGTGCAAATATTTTGAAACAGCACCTTGTCGTGTGTTTCCTTACTCACAGTTCCCTCTGCCTGGCTCTCTGGGACTCCAAAAACTATTACATTGTTCCTGCGCTGGAGCCGTTCCTGGTGTTCCTCCTCTCCCCTAACAGTAGGTCCGTTAATTTTCATTTCTTCGACACACTTTTTCAGAGTCCCAATCTGCTGTAGAACCTGTACTGATTCTGCATTACTCTCCGCCCCCCCCACCCGTGGCCCTCCTAATACGTCAGCATAGCTCCTCTTAGCAACCACCTCCATTCTATTAGCTACTTCCTCAGTCTTAGCAAGGATCTCTTTCTCAACTTGCTCCAGTTTGTCAACCAGCAGGGCTCCTGCTTCATCTATTTTCGTCCCTAGAGAACTCGTTCCCTTATGGATTGCAATCGCTTCATTCACCTTGACTATGCAGCCAGGGCAATACCAGCAACAGCCATCAAGCTTTACGGCAGTTAGTAACTTCCTAAACGTTGCATTAGTTAGGCCTGCATCCTCCATATCCGACGTCTCCCTGCAGTAATCACATACCAAACTCATGGTTGTTGTTGTTGTGGGGGGGGGGTGCAGACTGTGTATAGATCTACACCTATTTCAAAGAAAATAAAGAGAGAAAAAAGTACTTAGCTACTCTCTGTTGCCTATGGAGTTGTCGTCTGCGACTGCGTACACTGTATCTCCCTGTGAATGGTGTATTGTAGGCACAGTTTCAGTCCTTGAGCAAGCACACAATCAACATAAAATAAAATTTAAAGTCTCTGTGGCACCTATGACACGACTTGGTTTCAGCTGGCACGGTGCCTTTCCAGCTTGCTTGCTAGTGAGCGCTCACTTTAAGTTATTTACAACTTCAGCGGTCACTGATGACACTATGAACTATCACTGTGTACACTGTATCTCCCTGTGAGTGGTGTATTATAAACACAGATTCAGTCCTTGAGCAAGCACACAAACAAAATAAAATTTAAAGTCTCTGTGGCACCTATGACACGAATAGGCTGGCAGTTGTCCTTACCAGCTCGATTGCCAATATGTATTCACTTTAAGTTATTATAGTCTCTTCTGCATTCACTGATGACAACTATGAACTGATTTAACTGAAGGCACAGTACTACACTCCCTGGTTGGCCTTTATCACAGCCGTGACCACAACACCCTAAAAAATAAAATAAAATAAAAGCTTTGTCATGTGGCAGTGATTGTGTGGTTATAGGCCTGTGACCCTGGCTGTACCTCCAACTCGGTGGAAATTGAGTTTTCAAAAATACAATCGTGTCTAGCATGAAAAGTCCGACATCGATTTACACTTTCACCTCACTAAGACGATCTTGACGAACTTATGTAATCACTGTCCAATTTCTGCCGCTCTACATCGAAGGCCCGGATGCCGAACACGCTTTGTTACAGAGACGCAACACGACCCGCCCGCCCGCAACGGTAAATACTGCATCCTACCTCTTCATATGAGATTTAACCTCATAATAACTAGCTATATAAATCAATCACTTGTGTGGCTCACAAGCTTTGAGCGCATAATCAATTTACGTAAATACATCAACAATAAAAAATTAAGAGATAATGTTCCACTATAAATAATATGTAAACTGCGGTCTGTTAATGTGTTTTGTGGTGTGCAAAAACCTTCCACCCAGGCAAGTCTTAAGCCCAGTTGGTATCATTAATTCATCATTAGAATGAAAAGGAAATGAATAGGAAAAATAAGCGCATTCAGCAGCATTCAGATGTGCAGGCTACCTCACATGTGGCGGGTACTTCAGTGAAGGCTTGACCTGCGTGGCTGCACTTCCTCCTACCGCATACAGCACAGTACTTACTCCCTTGCTCCCTGACGACGTGTACCTGTCTACTGCATCACCTTTGATACCGGAGCTACAGCTTTGCATGGCCATAACTAAATCACTTCCGGTACGCCCATAACTACATCACCACTTGCACGGTCATATCCACAACACCTGTACGGCCACATCTTCACCTGTACGGCCACATCTTCACCTGTACGGCCACATCTTCACCTGTACGGCCACAACTATACAGCTGCATTGTACTGTACATCAACAACATGGTGTCCGTGAGCGTGTGTGCTGCAACGTCTTCAAACATTTTACTGCCGAGAATGATCATTACAGGTAGGTAGGCAGAGAGGACATGTTACAACAGTAGTGAGGACACCTGGTGTTCCCTGTGTGGGGAGTTTGTTAAAAAAAAAATCGGACAGCGGATTCTTCAGGCGCTCCAAGGAACATGTAAAGACATTATTTACAAATTCAGTTATTTGATTGTGCTGTGTTAGTCTGGTTGGTTTGTAAAATATTATAACCAAAAATTCCGGTAATTTATTCGGGTACAGTATTTCGCTCCTTATTTTGTCATAAAGCACATCGAAAACGTGGATATTAAAGTTACACAGATAAAAGGTCTATGACAAACAAGAAACGGGCGTAGAAAAGGAAAAACAGGTAAATAGAAGACAATGAAGCTGCTTTTCTTTTGTTTTCTTCTGCTCTTTATTATTAATCATCTCTCTTCCATTTACAGACGAAACAATGTACAATGAAAACTAACGTCCAGGTTTTATGCTCTTTATTTACTTAGAGAAAAAATCTTGAAATTATTTTTTTTTCGTAAAACTGGTAAATCAAAAACTATCAATGAGTACAGTTCTATTATAATGACAAACGTTTTAGTCAGTGCAGAGATTAAAACAAGATTATATGGCTTTCACTTTGTGCTGAACCTAAGTAATGTATTAGCCATGGAGAAAAAAGTAGGAGCTTAAGCTCCCTAATAAGAGTAGTCTGCAGTCATATTAGTTCATGTATAAACATTAGTTGTGTTAACTCATGTCACGGGGCAGTGTTACAGGGGTGAACGGAAATAAAGTCACAGGAAAAAATCACATGACTTGTAAACATTGACAATATATATATATATATATATATATATATATATATATATATATATATATATATATATATATATATATATATATATATATATATATATATGATGGCATTACACATAGGTTAGGTTAAGTTAGGTTAGGTTAGGTTTTTTCCGTGCCGTTTTTCCTGACCTTTTTCTGTTACTTTTTTCTGGATTCGTTACAGGTGTGTGGCGACGATGGCGAGCGTCAAGGGTGAGCTGGCGTCTGGCGCTGAGACTTGTAATGATCACTGGCATCTTCCTCGCCCTGTACATCCTCGTCTCCCTCAACACCAGCACATCACCCACACACAACTCTGTAATGGCACTGCCACCCTTATTACTCTCCAGTTACTTCCAGATGCATGTAAGGAGAGAGGGTGTTGGGCCTCAGGCCAGAACCTCCATCAAGGATATTGGATGGACCGTTGGCGGAACACAGCAGCTGGGTCACCATGATGTGGATAACGTGGTGGAACAGCAGCTGGGTCACCATGATGTGGATAACGTGGTGGAACAGCAGCTGGGTCACCATGATGTGGATAACGTGGTGGAACAGCAGCTGGGTCACCATGATATGGATAACGTGGTGGAACAGCAGCTGGGTCACCATGATGTGGATAACGTGGTAGAACAGCAGCTGGGTCACCATGATGTGGATAATGTGGTAGAACAGCAGTTGGGTCACCATGATGTGGATAACGTGGTGGAACAGCAGCTGGGTCACCATGATGTGGATAACGTGGTGGAACAGCAGCTGGGTCACCATGATGTGGATAACGTGGTGGAACAGCAGCTGGGTCACCATGATGATGTGGATAACGTGGTGGGTCACCACAGCAGCTGGGTCACCATGATAACGTGGCATGGGTCACCATGATGTGGATAACGTGGTGGAACAGCAGCTGGGTCACCATGATGTGGATAACGTGGTGGAACAGCAGCTGGGTCCCACAGCCCCCCCTCTTCCCCACAGGTGCGTCATCACCATCAATGTTATGCTAATTTGGACATGTTAAATAAGCACCGCTCACATATACTGTACACGTGTTGCCTTCTGATTGGTTACCGTAATTGCCACCACAACGTTATGAAGATCGATAATTTATAACACATTCAATATCTGTTTCCGCCTAATTATTTACAGTAAATTAAGCTTAAACGCTTAAAAGAATAATTACTTTAGGTTAGGTAGATAATTCTATGGAGCTCACGCGTGAGTAGCCAATCATAATACAGCATTTTAACGGAAAGTGTTTCATTGGTTACAGAAGAAAGACCTATGACTAATTTGTGATACAATACATAATGATGGATGGAACTTGGTCAGTATTTATACTTGGTTGTTTATATTTGGTGTGTGTGTGTGTGTGTGTGTGTACACACAAAGAGACGACTGACGACGTAATTGTCAGCACTTTTACAAGGTAACAAGTAGCTTCAAAAGACTGAGAATAAGTTTGGCCAGCAGTAAAAAGTGATGTGTTACAGGTACCTGATAAATGAACCTGACCTGTGTGACCACGAGGTCAACATCATCAACATGATCCCCGTCGCTCCTGCCAGACGGATGACGCGGCTCATGATCAGGTATGTGACCTTGAGTGGTACATGAACTCTGTGACCTGGTGACTGACCTACATGACCAGCTACGTGTCTTGTATGACCTATTATATGACCTGATTAACCGGGATGAGTTGTAAAAGTAAAGGGAGAAGAGTGGAGAGTCAGTTACGGTACCTCCCTGCTGTCCCCACAGTCCTAGCGGGCAGTCATGCCACTGAGACCCGCTGTCACATTTAGGAAGAAAGTTATGGCTGAGTTCATTAATCTCTATATCCACAGTAAATAGTATGACTCAAGACTTTGTGCATAAGAACAGGAAATTGCGTTTTATGACAAAGATTTTTTTCTTCCGACTGCTGTACTGTCCTGATGTTTTATTTAACCAACTATACGTTAAGGGTGTATGGTAATGTTTGACTAATGAAAGTGGTTGTTGTGGCAGGGAGTTGTGGGGGCAGCGGAAGTACTCCAGCAAGATAAGGATGAAGACCGTGTTTGTGGTCGGGATCACCAACTCCAACTACCAAAGTCAACTTCTCCACGAGAGTCAACACTACCACGACATCATCCAACTCGACTTTGTTGATTCATATTTTAATCTGACATTAAAAACATTATCCATCCTTCACTGGACACAAAACTTTTGTCCGGGGGCGAAATGGATTCTGAAGAGCGACGATGACGTATTGGTCAACCCATTTACCCTGACCGAGTACCTAACCCAGCATCCCACAGCGGATTTTGTATGCAGAATGAACAAGTATTTAGAGGTGTGTCGCCTTGGTAAGAGGTGCCCAACAAAGTGGGCAGTGTCCACCGAAGAATACCCCAACAGGTACTACCCTCCCTATTGCAGCGGTCCCGCCTACGTCGTCTCCAGCAGAATTGCAAGGCTGGTCTACACCGCTGCCAACAAGACCCACCCTCACGTCATAGAAGACGCTTACTTTACTGGTATCGTAGCCGAGCCCTTGAAGCCTAGATATGTTAATCTTCCCTATAGAAGGTTCCCCAGAAGAGTCTCCCATCTTATGAAACAACCAAACCTTAGTAAAGCTGTGTTCTCCATGTATATTCAAAATAACCAAGATTTTTTGCGCACTCTTTGGGACCGGAACCTCCAAAAGATGAATGTTTCCAACGTTAAAACATCTTGACAGCAGCGCGCTAAACCTTGCCTTTTATTGTAACTGGACAGAAGAGATCCTGTCAAGAGACAAAGATAAACGGAGATAAATATATCAGACAAATGAATTAAAAAACACATTCTGTATAACAATAAGTGATAAGAAAGATGCGTTGACAAGTATCATTCTTTACGGATTTGATATGGCTATTTTGGGTTCACGTGTTAGTGAATTTTCGCAATTAAAAAAATGTATGGAAACGGATATAAATTCTCGAAGAATAAAGGATGGAGGAAAAAATAGGAAGCTAGAGCAGTACATTTAAGATGTGAGAAGTTGTTGTTATAACGTTATTACTTCGCTTCAACAACTAAGGTCTTGAAATGCGTAACAAGGTTATTAATACACTTAATAAGAGCATAAGAAAATAAGGAGTCTGTAGTAGGCTGGTTGGCCTGTGCATGGCCGCTCCTGTCGAGAGTTACTACCACTCTATCATCCATGAATCTATCTAGCCTTCTTTTAAAACTTTCCAGCGTTCCAGCACTTACTACAAAGTTGCTAAGCTTGTTCCACTCGTCCACCACCCTATTTGTGAACCAGTTCCTTCCTATCTCCCTCTTTAACCTAAACTTATCCACCTTAAATCCGTTGCAACGAGTCCTATCCTGCTCGGATATTATAAGAACTTATCTATATCTCCTTTATTGATTCCTTTCACTCACTTAAATACTTCTATCATATCTCCCCGCACTCTTCGTCTTTCTAGGGAATGCAAGTTTTTTTTTTTTTTAATCTATCTTGATATGGAAGGTTTCTAAGTCCCGGAATCATTTTCGTCATTCTTCGCTGCACAGACTCCAGTGAATTGATATCCATTCTATAATATGGGCACCAGAACTGAACAGCATAATCGAGGTGCGGCCTGAATAGGGCAAGATATAGTTACAATATGACCTCTGCACTCTTGTTACTTACACTTCTAGATATAAAACCCAATACTCTGTTTGCCTCATTTCGAACATTAACGCACTGTTTTCTAGGCCGTAGGTCCGGGCTTACTGTACAAGTACCCCTAGGTCTCTTTCACAAGTCGACTTCTCAAGGTTGATATTGCTAAGGCTGTTACATTGACAGTATTTGTTCTTCCAATATTAAGTACGCTGCACTTGCTGGTGTTGAATATCATTTGCCATTTTTCTGGCAAGCGATAAAATTATGAGATGTGAAACTATCTGTAGTTGGGAGAAGACAAAAATAGAAATATCCACAGTTATATTGTCAAAACACAGAGAGAATGTCAGTATAAACAATGGGCCCGCCCTGGCAGTGATGATATGGAATACTTTACTGTACGTTCTTTAAACCATAACAAATGTATCTTTTCTAAGTAAAATAAAAGTAATGTTCTGATTTTCTAAGTGAAATCTTCAAGGTCATCCTGTCGCTTTCATGTAAAATTCCAAGCGAATGTTTATTTTTAATTATTTTTAGTGCATTGTGTAAATTAGGCGCTATTTCAGAATTTCTTGTCTGTATTATCTTGAAAACCAACATTTTAATCAGTCGTCCATGTTAAAAAAAATTACGAGTAAATAAAAATCATTAAATATTAAAATAATTGTTTAAATTTAGTTTTTGATGTGTACAATAATTTCATGTAGAGTACGATCATATTGGCGCGGTACGATATGTTGGGTTTATTGTAGGTGATTCCCTATCGTGAAAAATTAAGTGGGAATGCGAGTCGCAGTCAGGGCAGTGTAGCGTCGAGTTAACACTACAGTAGCACCTCCTCTTCCGCGGACGTACTGTACCTAATAAATTGGCTTTTTTACAACCACAGTTACAACACCTGTATATACAGCCATAACTATAACACCTGTATATACGGCCACAACTATAACACCTGTATATACGGCCACAACTACAATACCTGTACGGCCACAACTGCAACACCTGTACGGCCACAACTGCAACACCTGTAAGGCCATAACTACAACACCTGTATATACAGCCACAACTATAACACCTGTATATACGGCCACAACTACAATACCTGTACGGCCACAACTACAACACCTGTACGGCCACAACTACAACACCTGTAAGGCCATAACTACAACACCTGTATATACGGCCACAACTATAACACCTGTATATACGGCCACAACTACAATACCTGTACGGCCACAACTGCAACACCTGTACGGCCACAACTGCAACACCTGTACAGCCACTACTACAACACCTGTATGACCACATCATCTTTGCGACAAGTACAACATCGCCTTAGTTCCAGGGAGCGTGTGTGCAGCAGTATGTTCATTAAAAGTAGGTAGAAAGACACCTATCGTGTACTATAATACTGTAATAGTAATGCCAGATGTCTGGAGAGCATTATGACGGCAGTTTTGAATTTTCTCTTCTACTGCAACAATCGCTAGTTTAGGACGCCCTCCTTACTCATCATGTGAGCAGTAGTCTAAATGGATTACAACGCCGAGGTCACAGAGGGTCTTTATCAAGCCCCAGTGACCAGGTTACTGTGGCAATGGATTATTTGAGTAGTTTTTTTTTAGTCCACAAAACTGTCTAAACTCTTACACAATGGTTGACTTGCCTTCAATACATACACGTTCTGTTTGGGGCTGTGAATAAAAGGTTTTATCTACTTACAGTCTAAGACATAGCGTTGTGGTGTTTCACATATTTGACATTTTGTGCTCACATCTTCGCGGGGGCATCTTGCCACCTACTTAACCTGTATGTCTTGGTCTTAATCTTGCAGTGGCAACGTCTGCTGACCTTGTTATTTTCTCCATTAAATTTTATACTTGATGAATTTGATTATTGTGGACAATTTTATACCACGCCAGAAAGGCAGGCGTAGTACTGCTGTGTTCGGTTTTGGAGACAAATATGTGGAAGTGAATGCAGGAGACAGTTCAGTTCTTAAAGTCAATTTTCAATTGTAGTTAAAACAACAACTAAGATTAAAAAAAAATCTCCTAATTCAACAGCTAGACAGGCAAAATAATACCTTACTGTACGTACTCTCTAGATTGCTAGAATGTCACCAAATTTATACACGTAAAGAAAATACACATCACGGGAAGGCTTCTGACAATATTATATAATTAGCAAGCAAACCTTCAATTAATATAAAATATCGCACTGCAACACTGTGTGTCGAGGAGGAAACACAAGCAAGAAATAATATTAAGAAAGAAACATTTGTATGTCACGGGGCGGTGTTACAGGTGTGTGGCGACGATGGCGAGCGTCAAGGGTGAGCTGGCGTCTGGCGCTGAGACTTGTAATGATCACTGGCATCTTCCTCGCCCTGTACATCCTCAGCTCCCTCAACACCAGCACATCACCCACACACAACTCCGTAAGTCAACCTTTTGTTTTCAGCCAAGTGGCAACCTTATACTTATCAACTTGAGGTGCATCTCTCTTAACTTGTAATTGTTGATGAACAGTTAATTTAATAACCAAGAACGTGTCCTTAAAAAATCATATTACTGAAGCACAGTAATACATCATCATACATCAACATTACTGTTAAAATGCAAATTACCATGTGTGTGTGTGTGTGTGTGTGTTCTGTCAGCGTATGTACTGCTGTCGTGCGCTTAGTTTGCTGGTCAGTTCTCCCAGGATCTGTGAACGTATATCGTGATCTTAATTATTCTTGCAGTACTGTAAATGTGATCACATAAACTGATTTCTTCAACACTATCATGTAGGCCAGTGTCTCGCACAAATGGTGACAGCACAAACTTCGAAACTTGTTTTCTAGGTGAGTCAGAACCTGATAGGTGACTAGTGCTAGCAAGGACCCGGTGGCCTAAAATTCTCCTGAGAAAGACAAGTCGAATAATCGCCGGGTAAAAATTCAGAACCATATTAGCTGCCAAATGTTAACTAACATTTCAATTTAAACTGCTACTCCGTGTGTTACAACCCTCTTTTTACAATGAAGTGTTGCACTCAAGTTTAATGAGTCAGACGTGAAGACCAGTGCGGAAAAATATATATTTATCACCTATAACAATACAGTATATCATATTTCGAGGAATATTTATGTAAATGCAAGTCTTGATCAACTTGTAAATAATCACTTTTAAATAATTTCCGTTAGCACCGAAATACTTTGAGATGCAGGAACTGACTGGGACAGTGCTTGCCTTCTGTCCTATAAGGCTTGATCACAGTTCAGTTCACCCAGCTGTAAATGGGTACAGTTACTTTACAGTTGGGAAAGAGAAGGCGGTCGAACACAGTGCCGGGTCACGCTGCTTGTGTCATAATACACAGTGCATTGTGTCCACTATGTCCCTAACAGACAATATTAAGAACTGAAAATAAGTATATTATCTAAGTTAAGTAATACAAGAACTCAGTATTTTGTCCAAACATTCTCGGTAGTTAGGCCGCGCCAAGTTTTAAATTGGTACCACTTTACATTTATAAATTCAAGCTTAAAAATTATGAAACGATTCTTGGCCACTGGAGGACATGACAGCCTGTACACTTAGTGGTCTTTATTGTCTTACGTAAGGTTGGCTCTTCAAACCATTTATTTATCATTTCGAGTCCGTATTATGTGCGTCACTCATAAACCAACTCTATGAAAGTAATCAAAACAAAGATGAACATGTGTCAAGAATCTCGTCTTATTTATAACTGATAGTTGCTTAGGACCAATGGCACTGCCACCCTTATTACTCTCCAGTTACTTCCAGATGCATGTAAGGAGAGAGGGTGTTGGGCCTCAGGCCAGAACCTCCATCAAGGATACTGGATGGACCGTTGGCGGAACACAGCAGCTGGGTCACCATGATGTGGATAACGTGGTGGAACAGCAGCTGGGTCACCATGATGTGGATAACGTGGTGGAACAGCAGCTGGGTCACCATGATGTGGATAACGTGGTGGAACAGCAGCTGGGTCACCATGATGTGGATAACGTGGTGGAACAGCAGCTGGGTCACCATGATGTGGATAACGTGGTGGAACAGCAGCTGGGTCACCATGATGTGGATAACGTGGTGGAACAGCAGCTGGGTCACCATGAGGTGGATAACGTGGTGGAACAGCAGCTGGGTCACCATGATGTGGATAACGTGGTGGAACAGCAGCTGGGTCACCATGATGTGGATAAAGTGGTGGAACAGCAACTGGGTCACTATGATGTGGACAAAGTGGTGGAACAGCAACTGGGTCACCATGATGTGGATAAAGTGGTGGAACAGCAACTGGGTCACTATGATGTGGATAAAGTGGTGGAACAGCAACTGGGTCACTATGATGTGGATAACATAGGTAAGGACCATCCAGTGGGTCAACCTACAGCTTCACCTCAGAAGCAGCAGTTTCCATACAGGTGAGTGTCTCTTACTGCTATTCCCTCACCACCACACCTGCACAGCTCACCACCGTCCACCACACCCGCACTCCTCACCACCACACACCTGCACTCCTCACCACCACACCTGCACTCCTCACCACCACACACCTGCACTCCTCACCACCACACATGCACTCCTCACTACCACACCTGCACTCCTCACTATCACACCTGTACTCACCACCACACCTGCACTCCTCACCACCACACACCTGCACTCACCACCACACATGCACTCCTCACTATCACACCTGTACCACACCACACCTGCACTCCTCACTACCACACACCTGCACTCCCTCACCACACACATGCACTCCTCACTGCCACACCTGCACTCCTCACTATCACACCTGTACTCCTCACCACCACACCTGCACTCCTTACTACCACACCTGCACTCCTCACCACCACACACCTGCACTCCTCACCACCACACATGCACTCACCACCACACCTGCACTCCTCACCACCACACCTGTACTCCTCACCACCACACCTGCACTCCTCACCACCACACCTGTACTCCTCACCACCACACCTGCACTCCTCACCACCACACCTGTACTCCTCACCACCACACCTGCACTCCTCACCACCACACCTGCACTCCTCACCACCACACCTGTACTGCTCGGAATAAGTTGATTTAAAATATTGTTACCTTGATAAAAGGTAATACAAGCTGGTGACTAATTGTACCAGGCAACTAGTAACTGTACATTGTAATACAGAGTACAAGATAGCGAGAAACTGTACAGTAGTGTACAAGACCTTACAGCGTAATATGTTTCAGGTACCTTATAAATGAACCTCACATTTGTGACCACGACGTCAACATTATCAACATGATTCCCATCGCTCTTACAAGACTTAAGAGGAGGTTATACATCAGGTACGTGACCTACATGACCTGTTACGTGATGTGCAGTACTTGGCACGTGACCTGCATGACCAGATATATTATCGAGTATGACCTGATATATGACTGTACTACCGGGGTAATGTGGCAGTACAGGGCAGTTGTAGGGGAGTCTGCTAGTGTAACGTTATAATAGTTTGTGTGACACCACCTGGTTATCCCAGGAGACCGTCCATCACACACCTCAAACCTTTCATAAGCCTTTATCTTGTAACCTTCGCCACTGCTCTCCACTGCCAGAATAATAACCATCTATATTTACTACTGTACTCTTAAAGTCAACAGCAGTTTTTATTATCTAGTGTTGTTAAAAACTGACAAACTAATTACAACATCCAATTACGGTCTTAAACCATGAACAATATAGTTTATCATGATATAAATTTCTTTCACCTTCATCCTTGATTCATATCGGGAAATGAGGTGGCACCAGGTGACACCATTTCCCGCATGTCTGTCAAATCTTCTCTTATATAGTTTTCTTCCGACTACTGTACAGTCCTGATGTTTTATTTAACCAACTATACGTTAAGGGTGTATGGTAATGTTTGACTAATGAAAGTGGTTGTTGTGGCAGGGAGTTGTGGGGGCAGCGGAAGTACTCCAGCAAGATAAGGATGAAGACCGTGTTTGTGGTCGGGATCACCAACTCCAACTACCAAAGTCAACTTCTCCACGAGAGTCAACACTACCACGACATCATCCAACTCGACTTTGTTGATTCATATTTTAATCTGACATTAAAAACATTATCCATCCTTCACTGGACACAAAACTTTTGTCCGGGGGCGAAATGGATTCTGAAGAGCGACGATGACGTATTGGTCAACCCATTTACCCTGACCGAGTACCTAACCCAGCATCCCACAGCTGATTTTGTATGTAAGATGAACAGAAATTCGCAGGTTTGTCGCGAAGGGAAATGGTGTCCGAAAAAATGGCAGGTTAGCTACGAAGAATACCCCTTTAACTTATACCCTCTCTCCTGTCACGGTTTCGTTTACGTGATCTCTAGAAAGATGGCTCGGTTGGTCTACGCCTCCGCCAATAAAACTCACCCATACCGCATGGAAGACATCTACTTTACCGGCATTGTGGCCAAGCACTTTAACCCTGTACGTCAACACTTAAGCAAATATTTGTTTCCAATACAAATAAAAACTCTTACAATTCTTCCTAAACTGGGCAAATTACTGTTCTTGTTAAAGCCTGATCTTATAAAAGGATTTGAGCTCACAATGTGGGAGCGAATTCTCCAAGAGAGTTATAATCACACGGTTACCAAAAATTCGGGAACAGCATTCTAAATATTATTATTTATTTGCAGGCGATAGTAGTCTTTATACCAGCCACTCATCTTTATTTCTCTCCCTCGACATGGCCACCAAGTGAATGACCATTCATTTAATAAGATACCACTGCAGGCTAGCCTGTAACAGCTGTGGAAGTTCGCAGGTGTTTTGGTGCAGTTGTGTGACAGCCCAGGTGCAGCACGTACGGTGACCAGGGATCATATAGCTCAAACACTGATTTCGTAATTTAATTACTATGTATTTCACCAAGTGTAATACGAGTAGTGTACCATCTCTCATGCTTTGCTATCAAAAAAAAAATGCTTGAGCCTGGACAAGCAAGCTGGAAAATGGAGTAATGGGGTGGGACTGGGACTATTAAAACCAAGAAAATAAGTTCCTGTGCGGCAGAAGCAGTAAGAGAGAGATGGACTAAGTACCAAGAACCGTACAATTATAAGGATAAGGTACAGGTAAGAAAAGAAAAAACAAATAAAGATCGAACTTCTAATTATAGAATCAGAAGTTGAGGTAGCTGTGAGCAAAATGAAAGATAAGAGCTTGTGGAGTCGATCAGCTTCCAGCAGAATTTAGCCTATAAATCAAATGGGCAAGAATGTGATAATGTTTGACTAAAATATGTAATTTTATATAGTGTACTTCAAAGGAGACTTTCCCAGGGATTAAAAAGACAAACAATGTTTGTATTATTACCAACAAAGCCAAGACCATTAGACTCTACGGACTTGTCACTTACTACCTCAAACAACACTTATTTTGCCTTGCCTTATTTACCTAATGGCCTCCCGTTAGAGGTGGCCATACCGAGGGAAGGAGCTAGTGGCCTGTATAGAATCCATCCATTGGTCTTGACCACATAGGAAATACTTCTTCAGAGGGTGGTAGGCCTATGGAACTGTTTACCAGCCCAAGCTGAGGAATCAAGAACAGTACCGGGATTCAAAGTAACTAGACAAAATTATCAAGAACAATGGAGGGATCCTACACAGGCCACTAGCCTAGCCTGTTTAATATAGGAACCAACAGCAACCCGAAACTGAAACATTTGATTGTAGCCATTTTTCTTATTTAATCTACTATTGTTTGATATAACTTAATTACAACTTCAACACTTACCGATGAAATGCTATAGAATCTCTCCTGTCCCTCCGGATACATTCATATGCCGAGCAGATGGCATAATGGAGCAAAAATTGAGAGCGAAGCACAGTGTACGGTTAATGTTAGGCGGGAGCTCAGGGATATGACGTCATGCTGCCCAATCTACTACGTACTTGGATTTTACTCAGTAACCTACAGTGAATTCCTGGCGTTAATTTGCGAACCGAAAAATCCCTGTATAGGTATTTAATTATTTTTCTATTCATTTCTTTAAAGGTATTTAGTTATACACGAATTTCCTTTGCAACAAAATAAGGGTGTCTCAAACATTTTACCAGACACATGGTAATCTAATTTCATCATGAATGATTTGGTGCAAGAATTTTGTAATTCTAGTAGTGTTTTTTCTTTTAATTTTGGATATGGTAAGAATTTTTTTTTTTTTTTGAGAATAGCCCACCCGGACACAGGTCATCGACCCACAACGGGGCCCAGGGGGCGAAAAAATAAGAGTAAAAATAAATTAAAAATAGAAATGAAAAAGCCTATATTAATCTACTGTACACCACGAAAATGCCGGAAAACCAGCTTTTTGAAGTAAGACAGATTGTATGAGTATGGAAACACAGAAGAAGGCAGAGCATTCCACAGTTTGGCTGTGTGGGGAAAGAAGGATGTACTATAACGGGTTATTCTAGTGTGACCGACATCCACAGAGAAAAGGTGGGCACCGCGGGCAAGACGTGTGTAATAGCCCACGGCCTTGCCGGCGATGCACAAGATGCCGAATCCACCAAACAATGCCCGTTAAAAGTACTTGTAAAAGAGAAAGAGAGTGAAGTATAAATAGAAAAAATGACACACCCATATTTTCAGTGATAGTTTACTTAGCTATAACCATTGTGAAATACCTGTATAGTTAAAATTGTAGCTCTTCAAGGATGATAATGTATGCTTTAATTCTTATAGGATTAAGCATCACCCACATATGGTTATAACTGAAATTATCATCCTCAAGGGATTAAAAGAGAATTAAATTATAAGTGAACTGTACAGTGTGTACAGTATGTACCAGGGTAGCACCCACCATTTAGAAAAGACGGCCACAAGGGGTGGTGGTGTATTACTGTACGTCAAGAAGCACCGGACAGCAACTATTAATGATGAGCTAAACGAAATGGGATCATCCGATTCTATTTGGCAGTAGGTGTGTGCTATGGGGCTAAGTCTCAAAATTGACAAATCCTCTTTCACATAATGTTATGAAAGACCCTACACGTAGGATACAACAACCCTAATCGCAACTACAGTATTCTGTTAGTAACACTTTCCAAGATAATGTACTGTGCTGTTGATAAGGAGAAAGATCTAAACGTTGTGATAAATTATTCAAATCTCAAGTACATCCCAGCCTGGATTACTGTATATAGGCATGGAAAACATAACTCCAGAAAGATCTAACATTCCTAGCAAAGGTGCAAAACAGAGCAACTAAGATGACTCTGGAACTATGCCATCACGATTATCCAAGTACTGTAGTAGATTGAGGACCAAGGACTAACAACACTTCAGACAAGGCACAATAAGGCAGATCTCATTGAAACATTCGAAATCCTGAAAGGGATGGAAAACATGAACCTGGGTCACTTCTTTGTGATATCATGCACCACTAACACGAAGGGACATAACTACAAACTCGTCAAACTATAATGCAAAATGAACATAGAGAAATACTTCTTCACACAGATGATGGTAAACCTGTGGAATGGTCTACCAGCCAACACTACAGAATCCTGAACAGTACTGGACTTCAAAATAATCCTTGACAAAATTATCAAGAGCAATAAAGGGATCCTACACAAGCCACTGGCCTCCTTCCCTTGGCATGGCCAGTACACCAAGTCCTCGCTTAACGTCAGGGTTACGTTCCTAAAAACGTGAAGGTATACAAAACAACGTTAAGTGGATCAAATTTCCCCATAGATAAAATATGGGAGTTATGTTCCTGAGCCTCCCGTTGCCCCATGAAATACATCACATATACGGAAAATCATTGCCATTTCTATAGAAAATGATGCATACATATACAACTACTAAGTTTGTATTGGTACTCACCGATGGGCAGAGGTGGTGGAGCGAGTGTGTGGTGGGTAGTGAAGCGGAGGAGGCGGATGGCGGGAGGGGAGGAGTATGGAGGAAGCGGAGGACGAGGGTGTGGAGTCACTGAGACTCTGCGGCTGCCTCCTCCTCCTGCTCTGACTGGGGTTCCTACGCTCTTCCCCCGTTGTTGTTTGCGCCATAAAAGTAGTCCGTGACGACGCAAAACGACATTGTACCGAGTCATTGGGACGTTAAACGAATTTTTGGTATCTAAAGATTAGCTACGTAGTACTGAAACAACGTTAAGCGGACCGACGTTATACGAGGACTTACTGTACAGTATTCATATTGACTACTGGACCTTTACCAAATTTAACATTGATACATCAAAACAAACTTTACCTGGATTATTTTTTTATTGAATGGTATGAAAAGTTAGATACAGTTTTTCTATTAGGAAAAAAAAAATCACAGTAAGAAGCTAAAGAAAAATACATACTGTACATGATCAGATGTATGTATGGACATTTTCACTCACTTAAGCAGAAATGACAAAGTCTGAAAGTTATCCACTGTGTATCCTTTACAATATATAAAATTCATATTCATTTCAGCTATTTGGTAGTACTGTACTGGACCTTAGAAATATCAGGGGCATTCATAAGCAAAGACTGTTGAGCACTGAAGACAGATCACAGTCACTATTTCATAATGTCTCCTCCACACCATAGGCTTTATATGACTAGTGAATATGGGCGTTGGCATCAAAATGACACGTAAGAGAACTGACTGTACAAATTTGGAATACCCTCTTCAGTGAACATTCACAATACATATAAGTTAAATTGTACTACTTATTTATTGCTTTAGTTTCAATTGTTAAAATTTTAATAGAGGAAACAGGGACTTTCACAATCCTTATACATTCCAAACATTTAGGACCCAACTTTACTATAATCCCTGATTGTTTAAATAATAGCTGTCTAATGTAATGTGTGTGACCTATATATTTAGATTTTCAGTGACTAGTAAATTATACACAAATTATGCATATAAATACCCCAGAAAATGGATATTTATTGAGAGGATTTTAATTTTCAAATACGTACAGTCCTGTACTAAAATACACTTAATAGTACAGTACTAGTGTTAGTAAATGTAATACTGTATGACTTGTGATGAAAAGAAGTGAATAATAAATAAGAGGGGGAGTAAGATTTCTTTTTTATGGGTAATAATATCTCGAGTCTAAGCACCATAAAATACAGTATATCATTCTCTAATATTAAACACAAGAAGATGTACCTTCTTCAACTCTTAATAAATGTTGTCTAGTGATTGAAATAACTTAAATTTACAGACTTATTGGTAAAGACATCAGTTGTTGATGCACAAATAGATAATACACATTCAGCAAAATACAGTAAATTATGAAAAGTAAAATTACTAAGCAGAGTAAATAACTGTAAAATTAATAAACCATAATCTCGGTAAAATTAATCATTTTGTTCTGGATGACGCTAACTTGATTTACAGTACAGTATAACCTAAAGAAATTAAATTATGGATTGTAAATTGAGGAGCAAGATGAGAACATTTTAAACTCCTCAAACCTGAAGGAACATATACAGCACCCACTACTCCAATACTGTAGTTGGACATATAATTTTCTTCTACTACTGTATATATATATTTTTTTTTGGGTGATGAGTGAATTACTTTTTTTTTAATTATGGGAACCTAAAATGCATTTACGTATATTAAAATCTCCGACAAAAACTTAGTTTATAAAAAGTTATTCATTGTAAAATTATCCAGTAAATATACTTCTTTGGAGTGACTTTACATGGGAAACTGTTCACTGATCTGGCAAGCCTGACTTGCTCATGGTACATATTTGAGTGACCCCTTTAATCACATACACAAAAGCGATTCTGCTTCAGCTTTAGAATTCACCACATTAATATTAGGTGACCTTGTAAGTCCTGCTCCTTATCACTAAATGGAATATTCATAACAAATTAATAATTATGCTTTGCAATGCACTAAATTATCAGCCATGATCTACATATTACAAACTTAATAATTCATCATGGCAAACTTAATAATTATCCCACATTATAAACCTCATTACTTCATGCTACATCTGTTAATTATCCCTCAGGATTCACACCTAATACATTCTCATGAAAATAAGATTAATTAATCATTCCTCTGCCTAAGTCTTTTTGATACTTCTTACTATATATTCCTGTATGATGATGACATGAATTTCTGCAACATTCAATGCCCTTTTCCATGATCATAAAGGTGCATGCTCACATACCCTAACTTCATTCTTTTGTTCAGTGAAATGCAGCAGTGTGCAGCCTACATTCTAATGACCCATGACTCAAACCAAGAAACAAATATTTCACTGCAACAATTATATATACAGTACATGAGGAAAAGCAAAATGAAGGACAAAGCAAGAAACAGGATAGGTTCAAACTTGTAAGTGCCAGTATGTAGAATAAAGTAAAACTGAACTTTCTGAAAAAGTAGTACAGTAGTAGTCTGAAGACATAAAGCAGCCACAAAGTTTATGAGGTAGGAGAAAAGTAACATAAAGATTAGAAAAAGTCTTCACTTTATATGTCTGTGGATGAGCACCCATGGGTGACGAGGTCAACTGATCGGCTATTAACTACCGGGCATTCCATAACAAGAGTATTAGTCTAAACTGTCATATGTACTTGAGTTTACAGTAGATTTACAACCCTCTCTCTACTAAGCTCCATATACTATTCTGTTCCGAGTAACATTTTTTATCCAAACAGCACAATTTTTTAACCCTTTAGAGGGCAGCAGCGCACTTGGTTATTTTATTCTGGCTAATGCCGATCATTTGGTGAATAGAATACCTGTAAAAGAAAAAGAAAAGTAAAAGAGACGTAACCAATCGCCCAAGCGGCTAACTAGCCGATCAGTGGTGAAGAGGATAAAAGAAAAGAAAAAGATTATATTCAACTTAGAGAAATTCCTGCCCTCTAAAGGATTCAAATCCCTTATGTGGAGTAAAGTGAATAAAATTCAAGAAAATAATCAAATTAACACAACAAATAATGAATGGCATAACTCCAACTGTTTTAGACCAGAAAAAAATTATCTTGGAAAGCCAATCGTACTGTACAACATTACAGTAGAAAAATATTAACAATCTTCATAGAAACTCATTTGTACAGAGTACAGTACAAAACATTCTTTGTAGTACTGGAATATACAAAATAAATAAATAACATTGTTTTATACATATTACATTAATTATATAATTTACAATAAAATCTGTGAAAGAAAAAACACAGTTTATCTCCTAGACATCTTCAGTATTCTGAGAGATACTAAACTTAAATTTATGATATATTGTATTCTAATTAAAAAAATTATGTAATGTTGCCATCAGTAACTGGTTTATACAGTACTAGCATAGTACTACTATACTACATACAGTAGTTTATTATAAATTCAAATTTCTAATGTTTATCAACATAGTTGTAGATCTATTAGGAAATAATTAAACTATTATTTTCCAAACTGTGCACAGTATTAAAAATAATCATTAACATACTGTACTGTATAGCAAAAAATGAAATGCCCTTTGTGTTTATTATAATTTTTTACAATCTTTCACAACCGAATGAATTTTTACTGTGTTAAAATATTTAACCAACTCATTATCATTGTATCCTTCCACTGTAATGTCTTTTAAGCTTAAAGGAAATAATATTAATACTGTTTTATAAGGTGTATAATGCATTGAACAAGTCTATAATGGTATGAATCCTTGGAATGAGTAACTATATTAAGTGAGATAATATGTGGCATGCTGTATATGGTAATGAAAAAATGATATGATTCAATGTTGTTCCAAGACCTATGTAGTATTCACAAGTGACTGCTTTCATCTGGCAGCTCCTCTAGAGCATCTGAAAATTCACCTTCTGAACTGTCCGTGCTAACTTGTCGCTCAATTCCAGCTTCACGCAAAGCAATATTCTTAAACTGACGCTTCTTTTCTTCAGAAACTTTCAATCTGAGACTAGAACCATCAACTTTTTTGCGAAAGCTAGACACACGAGTAAATGTGTTAACCACACTGTCGAAAGACACCTTGACACAATTTTTCTGTCTCACGACAGCTTCTTCAATTTCCTTCTTTATAGTGTCGATGCACGAGAGAGTATTAAATTCTACAAGCTTTGTCAGGCGGTCATATTGCAATGGTTCATACACAAAGTTCATAGAAGAAAATGGGTTCTGTGGATCATCAAAAATGGGAAAATCTGCAAATTGTTTTTCTTCCTCAGTTTCTCGTGGAACCCCTGAAAAAAGATAAGCTTTATTAACAAAGTATTCAACTCCTACTGTACTGGCATGTACTGGCATAGTAAGTACCAGCAATTGCTCTTCTTCACCTGCTTCTTACAATGAACAAACATAATGAATAATTGTTTTTTTATGTGTTATCTGCAAAATAGACCAATTATATTCCACACAATTTTAAACACCGTTAGCTCCAATTTAAGCCGAGGTGAACTGTGCACTTGATCCAAGCCCTCTGATACATACAGTCCACGTGTTTTCTATTAATGACTCGGCATGGTCCTATATTTGCAACACACGTTACCTAAGCAATATTAAATACACTAGTGCATTTGTTTAATTTTTATTCTACAGGTATTTCAAATGGGGGTAGAGCTCCGAGGTTATCAAATTAATGAGGTTTGAGTGAACTGTACTGCATAATGTTTCTAAGCATACAACTAAATATGATGACTTTATTAATTCTTCTTAAATTCTACAACAAGTTGGATCAGTATATTATTACAGGGGGTCTCCACTATATGTCATTTTGCAATGATATCGTTGATTAATTGAGGAACGCAACATAAAAATTCCCCACACTAACATAAAGTTGCATGACTTTGGTTCCCTAACCCTAATGTATTTTGGGGACCCGCTGCATACTGAATTTTTTTCTGAAATCATCATGAGGATGTGGTTGCCATCTTATAAGTGAAGAATATGTACAGGTACTAGTTCTTCTTAAACAGGGAAAAATATATTTATAAGCATCTTAAATCAAATCTTCTCTCAATTAATTTGTTAAAACTTACCTGGTGCTTTAAAATCCCTGAACTTATTGTTGACTAGAGGAAAATGCAGTATGACAGGACAAAACTGATCATCTGGATGCTTGAACACATAGCACTCACGGACTTCTTCATTTTCATATTGTTCAATCTGTTAAAGAAACATATACAAGGTGTCTCATTTTATTTCAAAATCAAATATACCATAAAATGAAAATAAACTACAGTACCAAAATAATATTCAGCATTATATAGAGAGTAGTGTTAAAATGTAATAGTTTTTAATGATCTACTGCACCTGTTTCTGTATTGGAGGGAAAGGAACTTTGTTTTGGATAGCCCACTTTTCAGCAAGCAGAAGTTCCTTGAAAGGCGGTGAACTGTCCTTGGGCCTCTGAGAGAAGTCAAATGATAAGTAAATATCCACCGCTCGTTGTGGCCGCAGCAAGAGAGGGTATGGCGAGTTGAAGGCCAGGCCAGAGTCCACAATGAATAACTTTTTTGCTGTGTTGTCTAAAGCCTTATATCTGCAGCTTGCTCCAAAGTCCACTGAAATAAAGAAAATATAAAGTTCTATCCTATTATTGTGTAAGGAGCTACAATAAATCTCTATTTACTTTATGGACCATAATAAACCTTACCAATACTGTACTGTATATTTGGAGACATACTGTATAGTTATGACATCACTATTCTGGGATAATTATGAGGAATTCTCAACCTGATTAATAAGATAAATTAACTTATCACAGACCAATGACACCACTGATTGTAGTAACTAATATTAAATACAGTGTCTACTTACTATCAGAGTCCACCTGATCTTCCTGGTCTTCTTCTTCAGCCATGGCATCAGCAGCAAAAGGCGATATAGGAAAGGAGTGCCTCAGGGATAGTCCACGGAAAGGGTTGAGCACTTCCCCTGCTCTTCCCGCTCTTGAATTAAGGATGTTCGTTCCTGTCATGATGTTCTGCTTCAGTGCATCCCAGAAACCAGCCTTCTTATCCACTCTTGACTTCCGAAGGGTTTTTCTGTAGAATATAAATGAGATCATGAACAACACCCTCATGGTGAAGAATAAGTAAGCTGCACTTTTTTCTAACTTTTAAACATTTATCTTCTATTATGCACATTGGCAAGAAATAAGAGCCCATACACTCCATTCACTTTTACTGCTTACTTCTTTATATATTGCACAAAATAAGTACTGAGAGATGTGACCGATCGCCCAAGCGGCTAACGAGCCGATCAGTGGTGAAGGGGATAAAAGTAAAAGTAATAGCATTCACAATAAAATCAATTAACTTATCCACTCTAATTAAAGTAAATAAAGGATATATAATCATGAAACTATATTATGTCCTCAAAATATTCAATTTACGTAAAATCGGCTATGCTAATGCACAGCATGCGTCCAAAGCATGAGTCTTTTTACAAGAAACCCTTGGTATTCAAAGCTTCTGCATTTGCATGGTTGGTTATATGTGGTTACCAGCCGGGCCATAGTAGTGTGAGGATCAATGCACAAAGTGACTATGGTGTCTTGCTGCACACTCTTCCTGTGCAGCCTTCATAAGGTCTCCATCACAATGCTCTCGGCAAGTTTTTGCTATTTCTTTCTATGATTACTATTACACTTAATCATGGCGCTAAAGAGTGAATATATAAATAAATGTAAGACAAAAAGTGATATCTTTAAGCCAGAAAGTTATTGGTTAAGCTTGGTAGTGACCAGAGTGCAGTATCAGTGACCAGATGTTATGGCATCAGTAAGTTGAATGTGTGTTACATTAAGAAAAAGTTCCCCAAAATACTAATTCAATATTTGTGATTCATGATCCCTGAATGGACAAGACCTTAAGCCTATGGACAGGTTATAGCATCAGCATCAATGACTTCATCATCACATGTTTTATGCACTTTTACACCATTTGTCCTTATCAAAATATAATTTCAGTACTATTTATGTTTGTCAGGAACCTATCCCCTCACTTCCCATAATCCCTTAGTATTAATATTCACAGTTTCACATTTCATGGTGATCTCAGGGATGTAGCCCCAGTGAATATCAAGGGTCTCCCATATTTCAAATTGATGTACTGTACTGTATTTAATGATAAATTGTATGCTTACCTTCTATTGGCCCAGACATTTTTTCCTGCTTCATCACTAACATTTACTTGTTTTCGTAAACGTGTAGCTTTGAAGGCCCCTTGGCGATTTAATCTTGATTCCTGTGCAGTCTGATAATTGGTTGAAACTCCAGGATCACTAATTGTGCTTTCCTTTCGATTATCTCTAGATGATTTCATTTTAGTCATATCAAAGCTAAATGGTTCAGATATTTTTCTTCTGTTCTGTTTTTGATTACGTTCAGAAAGTTTTAGACTGTCCAAATCAAGTGACTTTGTTGTGAGCATTGCTTTGTTCTGGTCATTTTTCTGCTGAGGTGAAATAGAACTTTCACCATCTGATCTGCAGTGGCTGTTATTATCCCCAAATGCTAAGCTAGGACATTCATAAAACTTATCACTGTCTGTACAGTGTGACTCGACTGTAATTCCAAGATCTTCCTCCTCGGATTCCTTATCATCTTTACCCTGAATATCTTCCTCATCTTCAGTATCTGAGCTCTCCCCTGAGCTGATAGTATCTTTAAGATTGTCTGGAAAAGAGAAATAAAAATATATTTGTAACAACTAAACATAATTTTTGTATCACCATGTGATTCACTGGTTCAACAGCAGCAGTGTTTTCCAAACAAGAATTTATACAACTTGAAAACAATTTCACCTTTAAAAAATGACCGTACAGTACTGTATAAGCAATGGGCTGATCAAGATTTCATGAATTATCATAGACTTCCAAATACATGTAGTTATGCCTCCACTGTAGCCTGCTTTCTGTAGTACTGATTAGTGTAAGACACATGGATGAAGATCTGGACACACTGGTGTACTGTGCAGCCTTTTTTCACACTACCCAGAGTGATGCATTACACTCCATAAAATATTTTAATAATGTTATTGATGGTTCTAGTGCTTATGTGAATGTTAATAGTTACTTGATTGACTTGTTTAAAACATACTTAAGAGTGTAACATGGTTGCATAATGTCACTGCATTTATTTAATATTTTTGGAGGCTCGAAAAGAAAAAAAAATACAAATAAATGAAAAAGAACAATAAAAACTTTGAAAATGCCTGCTTAAATGTAAACCAACTTCCAGAACAACAGTGGAAAAAATATAAATATATTGTGGGAATACTTCTCCCATAATAGGTGTACAGTAGTTAGTTTCGACCTTAGGATATGGTGAGGGTTTCTTAAGGCTGCAAATTATGTACAGTGTCTGCAAAAAGAATAGTGTCTGCCATTTATCTGAGCAATTTTATGCACTTTATTATACTTGTGACAGACAAGCATCTAAATAACACCCCTCCAGCCCTGGCTGCAAAGGGGTGATTAATAATATAACTTAGTGATAGCTGAGGACTAAAATATTTTTGTGCCTAAACACTGTGCCAACACTGGAGCGGGTACAGAGACGTGACCGATCGCCCAAGCGGCTAACAAGCCGATCAGTGGCGAAGAGGATAAAAGGAAAAGGAAAAATATATCAGAGACCAGAAAATTTCAACGGTGTGATGAAATTACATCATACAGAAGTCTGTAAGTCATACAGCGAAATGGAATAAAATGAAAAAGTAGAATGCTTTTAGATTATGGGAATATTTCATTTAAACTACACAAGGGCCAGTAAAGAAAATTTCATGTAATGAACAAGTCAAAGGGGCCAATTTTTTTTCTTGCTTTGTTTTTTGCTGGGAACAAGACAACTGACCTGGAGTAACTGGCCATGAGAGTCTAGAGTTGGTACTTGCTCTTGCTCAGTAGATGGTCAGGCTCTCCATGTACTCATTAAACTTGACTTATCTACTGTACTGTACTGTACTAACTGTTCATATTGTTTCATCTGGAGAAATATCACCTAAGTTCCTAACATGCAGGTTTTATTGAAAGAAAGATTGATTAATTCACCCTAAAAATTAGAGGAAGACAGAAATATCTTACTTACCTTCCAAATTATTTTCCTGTTGTGCATCTCTCATGATCTGCACCATGTCCTTCTTTCCTCCCTCCATCACCAGCCTCTTGATGAGGATCGTGAAGGCACTGCCCCACACACCTATAATAAATGTTGTGGTTAATGAGTTTATTTTCAAATTATTTTAATTAATACTTTAGTTTCTGAATATGTTTTAACATCCTAAGTCTATCGGTTTTCATTGAAGAAGCTTGCATCTTCATACAATAAATGACTAGCATTTTGTGACATACAAAAATTAAGTACAATACAGTATAGCAATACTTTACTTTAGGCTATTTGTCACTCATTGACTTAATAACCAGTTGGACGGTCAGTCAGTTGTGTTGTAAACTAATGGTAAACACTGGGCAATGTACAGTCTTGTTCAAGATTCTTCGAGCACTGCTAGAGACAGCTGGCAACTCATGGCAGTCTGTTTATTATAGTACTGTACATAGTAAAAATTATGAACGAATGTAAAAGCCCAACCATTAATTAAGCAACGGGGAACTAAGTAACCAATCACTGATCACTTTTATGTCCATGCCCAGTACTTGCCAACAGTGTGTAACGGAGACGTGACCGATCAGAGGTGAAGAGGATAAAAGTAAAGTAAAAGTAATTCATAACTTTTACTACATACTATAGTAAACAAACGGCCTCAAGTTGCCAGCTGTCTCCAGCAGTGTTAGAAGAATCTTGAGCGAGACTGTACCTGAGCCAGTTTCAGTGTCAGTCAACCCTGGACTTAAAGGATCTCACACTTGGAAGTGCCACAGTATTTACTGTGGATCGAGGATCTAGGATGTTTTGTGTGCTAAACTCTGTGAACTAATTAGTGAACTCAAAAAGTCACTTAGGTTACCTTGGAGGAGACACAACTTATTAGTGCTGTGTTAAGATAGAAATTGAGAGAAAATATCAACTCTATTACTCTGAGGGGCACATAATGGAAAAGCAACAGCTATCATAAGCCACGAGTCATGTAGATAAAAGGGAAAAAGGAAGAAATTGAGTGATGTTCATTAGTGATGATCATGATTCCCCTACCATAGAAACACCTGATAATATAGTAAAGGAACACCAAGACCACTAGGTAACAGAGTCCTGTCTAGTGAAAGGTGAGAATTAGTGATCTATCCTACAAAATGGCAACAGTTTGGTGTGCCAAGTCAACAGTGTGACCCGGACATTATATAAGTCACAAATTTTATGTGTTTTTTCTCTTTTTTTCTTTCTTTTATCCTCTTCATCACTGATCGGCTCGTAAGCCGCTTGGGCGATCGGTCACGTCTCTGTTACGCACCGTTGACAAGTACTGGGCATACACCGGCTCCTGAATGTACCTGAACCTGCTCCAGTGTTGGTCAAGTCTTGTCTTGAAAGAGTTCACAGAGCAACATTAGTGACAAGTGAGTGCATAAAAGTGATTTCTACATTAACAGTTTAGAAAATAAAGGAGTCATGATATGAAAACTTAATTTCTTACCTTGCAGAAAGTGTAGAGGAAGTTCTTCAAAATGTTTTATTTTTTTCCCTACTATGAATTTGTTTCCAAAGTCCTCTGTTTTCATGAAAGTTCCATACTTTGCAATTCCTATTTCATAAGGAGAGAATTCTACCCACTCCTGAAAACATTAATGCACTGTGATTACATACAATAGAAAATTCAACTACAATATGTATATACAAATAATTTTAAGCGATTCAAGCTGCTGCAGTCATTCTATAATACTGCATCTTCCAAAGAAAATATTACACAGGGTTACAACCAAATGACAGCAAGTTATTTCATATTTTTTTCTCAATGATTACAATTCATGTAATTTATGAAATGCAGGACACTATATAATTTATAAATTGCAATACAAGTACTGTACTATACTATACTGCACTTTGTTTTTATTTCACTATAGTTTATAAGGAAAACTGGAAGATACTACATTCATAAGAGTAGTTCATAAGTTTCAAGGAATATACAAACTTACCATATTATCACAGTACTATACAATACATGCAGGGCTGGGAATAGCAGCACTAAAGTTAATGCCCCTACTAATCTGTTAGTGATAGCATTAGCGCTGCAAACCTTTTAAATTGTCAGTGAAACAAGAAGCGGTGCCAATTTCAAGAGAAAATGAACTGCTAATTTCTCAAAACCATTTGTACTCAAAATTTGGTTAACAAGTGCAGTCTACTGTATATTGCACACAGTGTGTGGCTTCAAACATAACGTCGACTCAGGCAACAACCAACAGCAGCAGTCACAAAACTGGCCTATTGTGTGGTTTACTTTTACTACTACTAAAACAATTACTATTACCACTACAACTATTACTTACTGAAAATGAACGGCAGGAAACCTTTTTCTTGGCATGGAGGCAGGTATACAGAGGCAACGGAACAGCTCCCCGAGCTAATATACGCTGTGTGTCAGTCAGTTTCTTGTGTTTTTGCTGAAAGAAATATTGTCTAATCATCCTTTATTCCACATGAAGCAACAACTTAGTGTTCAGTTGTGTAGAGTAAAAAGCTTTGGGAATCTTAACCAGGAAAATGAATTGTCACATTAAATCTCATTAATGTAGCTGAAGAAAAGTGACATTTTAAATCTATGAGCAATGTGGTCCTTCCACTGGCTATCAGGATGGATTATAGAGTGCCTCCATAGCATACTACCATCTATATATCAGTATAGTTCTATAGTCTTCTGTATTTATTCCCAGCCATCATAATTATGAGGTATTTAGAGTGACAAAGGCTATCTGACCATGGTCATGAATAATACATGCACTATTTTACAAAAAAAAGTTTTACACATATGTTCCATACCTTTCTGTCTCTTTAACCATATTCAACCTTGTCTATTCCAAGCTTAGTTGTACTGAACTCATGTTACAGGTGCTTATGTCTAATTCTACTTGTTCTTATTTTACATTACTTTATCGTCTTTGCCACTGATCAGTTCTTTAACTGTTTGGGCGAGTGGTTAAATCTCTGTTATGCACTACTGGCAAATACTGAGCATGTACTGGTTCCAGGATTTATGTGTACTTATGCCAGTGTTGGTCAAGTCTGATCTTGAATGAGCTTACACTTGGTGTTGTTACAAATTACAACGTTCTCTGGCAGATTTTTCCAAAAAAATTTGCCCTTACAATTTTAAACTGTGAACCCTAGTGGGATGGGCATCTACCAGCTCCAGATATGGACACTCTACTGACTAATGTCCTCTGAGGTGTTTATAAACTTATAGTAAGTCACCCCTTGCTTGCCTATAGATATAAGCTAAGCAATTTATACAAATGCAGCCATGATAAACAATAAATAATGAGAAATAAGTCAAAAGAACAGAATGATCATGCTTGCTAAATGCTTAGGATCTACATACAGTACATATAATGTACGTATAAGAAATACATAATAAAGAGAATATTTCATTACCCCTTTAAGAAGAACATCTCCCAGAAGATGACCAAAGAAATCTGTAAAGGACACAGGCTGGCCCTGTTTGTACTTTATAATCATGCTAGACACATAACTGAGGGCATTGATAAGCATCCGCTTCCAGTCCTTTGTAACAGATTCTCGAAGTTCTTTCTGTATTTGATCATGGGTTACTTCAGGGAAGTTGTCATGGGCATAAAGGGTAGAAATGTACCTGGAAAAAAAAGTTATGTAAGAGTTGAGACTCACTGTGTATAACATCATTATTCTTATTCCGAAATATAATGCACATCATATTATAAAGCTTTAATAACATTGTCCCATCTTCAGTATGTACAAATTTCACAAAAGTCAAATGTAATACAAATACCAAACAGAAGGAAAGTTGAAAAATACTTTGAAACATTAATCCTGAGGTAAAAATTTCCACATGACATCACATACAGTACTACTGGCTAAGTCTCTTGGGGTGACAAGCATAACTTACAAGGTTTCAAACACTACAGTTGTTAGGTTTATTAATCCTTCATTGTTATGAATCAATAGTGAGTGTCTTATTCTTATAATTTATGAACCACCAATAGGTATGAACTGTTTATTGTATACACATCACTTACATTTATCTTTCTTTCAATTTTTTATTAACTTGATTAATTTTTTTGTGAGACCTCTTTTATATATCATAACCTTGTTTCAAGTACTGGTAATATTAGGAAAAATGAATGGCTTGCTACAGTATCCCTAAAGGCCGAAATTAGTATAAGCAGAACACCCTCATCAAATTGAAGAATCAACATATTAATGATAGAGGCCAAGTCTCCTGTCTGCTAATTTAAAAATTTAGTATATACTGTTCCCAAGTACAGCATCATCCTGTTAACTCTGCATGACTTAACCTGGATACCTGAGTTGATTATCAAGACCAATATTACTATGCTGTTGTTCAAGCCAATTTTCATTTCATGTACTGTACTGTTTTAAACACACACACACACACACACACACTACTAAAGATATGCTTATAACTAATGGACTATATAGTGTATACCACTTGGCTGGTAAATGATGCTTGACTTAAAACATTAATATGACTTACCATGATGAACCTGACAGTCCTGAGATATAAGTGGCACAGTCAAGAATGCCAGACTCATGCAAGGCCTTGATGGCACCACTGAGGCAGGTCATGGCACGGAACCCACCACCAGAGCCAAGTATACTGATAATAGGAACCTGCAGGGTGAGAAAGTCATCAACACTGTGCACAATATAAGAAACTTTACTGGAATGCCCAGGATGAAACAAAAATTTCAATAATATGAGCCATATTATGTAATATACTGTACATGAAGTAAATAAAGATGTGAAATGTAGGTTGAAATAGTAAACCAGTGCAACTAGAGCAGCACCATTCTCCACACTGCATTTCTACTTCGGTTTTGAAATGAAGTGTTATTATAGTATTGTTCTTTCTTAACCAGACAAACTCTTCAAGAGAAATTCCATAGGTTTCTATTGTCACTCTCCTGTCTGACACTACTGTACATAAAGTTTTTCATTCTTTATGTTTACATGGCCTACTAATTTCCTTCATACAGTACTGTGATGTATTGTTCTCACAAAGATGTGATGTACTTTACTTCCATGGTCTAGTCAGCTAACTTGACCAACACTGGAGCGGGTTCACGTACATTCAGGAGCTTGTGCATGCCCAGTACTTGCCAACAGTGCGTAATAGAGACGTGACCAACCGCCCAAGTGGCTAACGAGCCGATCAGTGGTGAAGAGGATAAAAATAAAAAAGTAAAAGATATCATACTGTACTATATCAGGGTAACTGTACCAGACCCTTTGGCTGCAGAAACGAAAGGGGCGGCATACCCTACACCTAAAAAGAGTCATAGTGTAGTACACTCCAGTGCCCCTATGCAATTAATGTATGTAGCTGCTTAAAGCTTCTGCTCACAATAGATAACCACCCTCAAGTATACAGGCTATATACTTTATTTGTTTGTTATCAAGGAGATAGATGTTTTATCAATCTCAAATAAGTAAAAAGGAAAATGGTATCTCTTTAAATGCCTGAGATTACAGATATATATTCCAAGAGGATGTGTACCTACAATGCACCTTGTCCAAATTTTTGCCCTGTTTCTTTTTACCCTAAACCTGGAGTTTGTGTACAGTACATAGAGTACAATACAGTACAGTATTTGATTCTTATTATCCTAAGCTTATATATAAAAATTTCACTTTACCTGTCTCTCTGTGTCAGGTGCCTCAGTTCCTAATACCCTCTGCATGGCTGCCAGGACTTTCTTCCGGCGGATTTGAAGGAAGTCTTTCTCTTTCTGACACAATGCCAGTGAGAACCGTAGATCTGGCGTTTTACTGTAAATATATAATTACTTTATTCACAGGTGAGGGAAAGCTTGATTGTCTAATTCAAGTATAAAACCGTAAAGAAGCAATGTAAAGCTGCCTAATAACTTCAAATTCATCTATCATCAAAATAATGTCAAATAATTTGTGAAAAATATTAAACATGGTAAACCAATATGTCTCCAACTTTGTTAATGCAGCACTAAATCCAACCTTTCAAGTCTGATGTTCTTTCTGAGAAAAAAGGAACATCAAATTTGGAAAACTTGACATCATGAACGGTGTTCAAGTGTTGTTCAAACTGGCCACGTTATATAAACACATCCAGAAGCAGTGGTAAGGTGATATTCTCAGTCGCCCTGTCTAAGGTACCCACATATGGATATGTGTGCCGAAGTGTCCACGTTGGAAACACCGCTTCTTGTCTGATCAGCAAAGTTAAGCAACGTTGGGTCTGGTTAATGCTACAGTACTTCGATGCCCCTAAGTACACCAGATGCTGCTGGCATAAGGACTACTGCCCTTGATCAAATTGACTGAATGGCCCACAAAATTCCAAAAACCCAAAGGTGTCCAATAAAAATTTAATAAGTTGCCCAATCATGTATAATAATAAATAAATAATAAAAATAAAATAAATATAACCCTTTTTGTTTAAAATTATCTGTTTTGATGCAACAAAACCAAGAATACATGAACTTTCGGTTTTTGTGGGTTAAATTCCACGCTGGTGCCAATGTTGTATAATTCAAGAATCCTGGGATAACTACCAATCTATCTAACTTGCTTAATTCTGCAGTGAGTCATGTTAGGTAATAAGTGGTGGCTTATGACTGAGTGTACTCCTGGCAGCCTGACTGACAGCCTACATATGTGATTTTTCCCCCTCATGAGGGTATAAACTTATGTGGGAACTATGAATCTCCACCAGCATTTATAATTAGTATTGATACTCTGCTCACAATATCATCTTGCCATTTATAAACAGCATTGACACTTTATGGGTCAAAGAGAAATTTATGATGTTTCTTTACGAGAGGTACTGTATTTTGGTATCGGTAATGAAATAACAAATTGAAAATATTGTAAAAACAACACAACAAGCTCAGAATAAATTTCTTACTTTTTCTGCAGTTTAAGGGTTGTGTGAACCTTTGAGCCGCCATGGAAGTAAAATGTGTGGTCCGTGGGTACGTCGTTTGTGAGTTGATTGATACAGAATTTGTCATCTCCAAGAGTTTCATCAACTGTATAATTTGCATCCATCAAAATTACATCTGCAAAAGAGAAATCACAAAACTTATTATGATAGTTTTATCTATCTATGGCTAGATACTGTTCTACTATTCCACTTTCTAAATAGTATAACAAGAAAACAAGAACTGCACAGTAGTGTAATTATAATTTTTTCACCTGAATACTGTACAAGTTATTAAAAAAAATATAGACAAACAAATTTCATTAATTAAAGAAAATATGAAATCTTCCTTACATGGTGTAATCACATAATAAGCAGGGCAACTTGCAGCACCTCTGAGAGATGAAATAAATAACAGTACAAATGTGTTTACAAATACATTAAAGGTGAGTAGATAAATTTTCTATCCTTAAACAAACTTGAAACTTTGTTGTAGGGAAAACCTTAATCAGTTCAGCTACCAGTAGAATTGACCAAATTGGTAAGAGGACAGTTTAAACCAGTGGTTCTCAACCTTGTTTGCCCCATGCACCCCTTTCACCATATGTCAGAATGTCATTCCCCCTCCTTTCCAAGATTGTCTGCCTCAAAAAGTGCATTCCAAATAATATGCATATAATACTGAAAATCCTTTATTTTTTCCATATTAGTATCAGTTTCCCCCCCTGAAAACCTGAGGGGGGAAATTCCCCCCTGGTTGAGAACCCCTGGTTTAAACCATAAACCCTGGACACTCAATACCTATACTGTATACAGTATTGAAATTATTGCAAATAAAATACTTGTATAATGAAGATTTTAACTTACATAGGTCTATATCATCTTAATACAGTACATACAAAGTACTAAGTTTGAGAAAATACTTACTGAGTTCATGTTCTTTTGAAGGATCTAAAAAAAAGTGGAAAGTTTCATCCCAAATAGGACTGACACAATTGTCCACATGGCTGGTCCGCTTGGAGGGATTGGAAGAACCAGGAATTTTCATTATTACATATGGATCTGGAGTGTCCACTGAAAATTAAATATAACAACTAAGTACAGTATAGTATCGTACAGATGAGATTGAAAATGGTGTTTCTGTAGCTCCTAATGTCTAAGCACTAAAATTTCTGGAATTTCTACTTTTTGCTGGGGTCTCCTACGGTACTGTACTGTCAAACCAATTCTCAACCTGATAGTGTACAGCTCAGTGTTTTGTTTTTTATCTTTTAATTAATAGGGATAATCACTAAACACAGTCAGGGTACTGGAAACTTCATAATTAAACTGATGTTGCAACCCTAAATATTTAAGTCACAGGGTAAATAATTCCCAAACTGGTTTTTAGGCGACAGGATTTGGTATTTGATTGCGATACCATATTTGGTGCACAGCCAATGAGTAAACCCTTGAGAGCTTTTGTTTATAGGTCATACAGTCAATAGATTAATGATGCTGGTCCACACATCCTCAATCTGGTCTTTGTAACATAGACTTACCAATACAGTACAACCAAATACAAGTGTTATTTTATTATTTTCAAGAGTACCGGTAAACCTTAAAATGCTAGTAGGCACAAAGCCAGTCAATTCTTACCACCTTGAAACTATTCCTTTTTTTTCTGTATTTCAACAGCCAAGGCCATTAAATATACAACCCAAATCATTTTATATACTGTACAGTATTACACAACTATTATTAAGTGGCATGCTTCTAAACTATCAATTTATCTCGGCATGTCGTAAAGAGTAGTCTACTTACCGAAGTCTTTTAATGTGCTGCCTTTAGTGATGGACTCTCCTCTCTTGATGACTATCTCCAGGTCCAGACATGCCTCATGCTCCACCTGGGGGACGACCACACCATGTTATACACTACATCACTGACAATATGGCCTCAAAATACCCTTGATATTGATCAGATTAAAAAAATAAATAAAAAAATCCCCCTTATACCCCCCCAACCGGGTGGGCTCGCTGTGCTCACCATGTTCCCCCACCCACTTCTTGGACCCCCCTCCTCCCCTTTGATATTTGTGGATCCGCCATTCCGCCCCTGTATTTAACATTGTGTTATGACCCAGGGCAAGCCGTTGTTTATTATCTGTACACATAATATAATCTTGTAATCAAAACAAAACTGTCTTTGCTCATAATTATTTTACTTTCATGTGAGACACAATTCCCTTCAGTTAATGCAAATTTAAACACATGCCATGGTGATTCCGTCAACCCACGCACACATTCATTCACTGACGAGTTATAAACAGCCGATCACTTGGCATGATGGAGCCTCCTCTAATGCAGTACCATCTGGGAGCACATCATATGCCAGCTGGTGGATGTGGACCATAATAGGGTAAAGAGCCAGCTGTGCCGTGGGTTGACGTAACGTGTCAGTTGCTTCCTTAAGAGCAAAAGGGTGGGTGACCATGTCCAATTCTGCATGACATATTTTTGGCAGTGACAAGCATGGGAGGTATTTGTGTATGGGGTGATCTTGGCGTGGTTCTGCCTCTCTCACAGGTACTGAGTACTGTATATCAACAATATATTTCCCAGTGTTGAATTTCTGGTATAATTTACACACTCGAAAGAGGAAGTATATTTATACTTACTTCGAAAACTTGAAATGGATCATATCTGTAAAGAAACAAAAATGAGAATTACTAATTTTGTTCACGGAGATTTGTTTAATCACATAATATTTAACTTAATCACATGATTATACCTAAATAATGTACAATTTCATACAAAAAAGGCATCACCATTCAAAACACAACTGTTGACACACACACAGACACACACACGTGTCAGTAATTTACTAAAGTGAGGTAATAATTTCATATTTTCCAGCACTTTACTGCACTTGTCTTGGCCACAAGTTATTCTCTGCCGCCATGACATCAATGTACCTGCCACCACTTTCCCCGAGCAGGTCAACAATGACGAGACGCTCCCTAATGGAAACTACAGGACTCCATTATAAATATTTTTGTTGATTAAAAATTGTCTTTTGATTCTTTAGAAACTTCAGTGAAAGACTCTTAAGAAACAAAAGTTGGACCAAACCAAGTACAGTACTGTACCGAATACAGCAAAAACTGCATCACTTCAATACTCAAATATTCTTTAAAACTTCCCAGAATATTACAGTAGTGCCGTTACTCAAGGAAACAGAAAAGGATGAAAAACGACCATTTCTAACAGTCCAGCCCAGCGTAGGTGGCCTTACTCGTGTTGACAGCCATTACTTTACATTAAATAGGTCGTGGACTAGTGGGTTCAAGTCCACAATGACGAGAAAATTAAGGCATGTACCGAGAAATGCTGCGTCTCTCTCTTAAACCTGTTGTTCCGGGAGAGGAGAGAGACAAGGCAGAGAGGTGAAGCAACAAGTGGAATTCCGTGACCATGCGTTTCACCTTAGCTTAGGTTAGGTTAGTTTAAGGTAAATTATGGTCACGGTGGGTTAAATTAGGGTAAAATAGGATAGGGTAGAAAGTACGGTGGGTTAGGTTATATAAGGGTGGGTGAGATTATTTTTAGTTACGTAAGGATAAGTCTGGATTAAGCAGGATAAGTCGAGATATACAGTATTAGGTATAGTTTAGGTTAAGAAACATCCAGGGGTTGATGTATGCACAGTCTAAGGCTCAACCTTGCCTCAGGCCACTGCAACATTCACACAATCTCCTACGCTGTAGCTGACATTCCCGACCGTGTGTGTGTGTCGCTACCGACCACTGTACTGCATAAAGCTCTCAACATGGGTGAAAATAATCATTACCCACCAAAACACGAGGCTACCAGACGAGGGAATTCCACAACATTCTAGTGTAAAGAAACACCGATAAGTCATTCATATAAAACTTGAAAGATATTACGACTGCATCGTCACACTGTGCGTATCTTTCCTTAGTGTCTAGCTGTTACAGTATTGCAGGATAATGTAGGCGAACAGTATAAGTCTGGGGTTTGCGCACTACAACCCAGATAAGAAGGAAATATCCGCCAGTAAACTTGGAAAATCAATCGTGAGGCCGTGTTAGCATCATGGCAACACCTCAATAGTTTTCTTCTAAAAATAAAGGGAAAAAAGATGAAAGTCATATACAGACAAACGGCGAAGTATTCAAACGTCCCCACACACTGGGTCCTAGCTAAGGCGAGGATGGTCAACAACAACAATAATAATAATACAACAAATGTGTTGCTGAAATTCGATGTAGTCAAAACTTGCCAAATTGATTGTGAGTAATAACAAGTCACCTTAATAAAACGTAAGTCAGGTATGTGTATATCAAATACTGACATAAGAGAGAGAGAGAGAGAGAGAGAGAGAGATAATGGGTAAAACCAGGTATTGCCCAGTAGTGGGTCGGGGAGGGGCCGACCCACTTCCTTAGGTCACACCACCAGTTTTTGTGGTCGTGTGTTGAGGTTGAGGTTAGTGTCAGACGGTTTATTTACTATTTTTAGCGTGAAGAAAGCGGAGTATGTGTCTAGAAGGCATCTTGTATTTTGTTCCTAAAGTAAATTACGACAAAAACCACACAGCCTAATGACATCACGATGGACAAAATTCACACACACCCACACCAAGAGACAACTTTTACCCCTTTTCCAAAAAAAAAAAAAGGCCAAGGTCTCTTATTCAAAGTTTAAGGACAGGGCAGGTCTGTCTTGCCTTCACCACAAAAAAATAGCCACGCGGAAGACCCCCTCAGTTCACCGTACTCAGAAGGCCTTGCCCTTAAGTGAGTGCCCCGGGAACACACACACACAGAAAGTTAATCGGAGCGTGGAGACTCAAGGTACTGTTCACGTGGTAGCTAGACGATATACAAGAACAAACACAATATTACCAACCCACAACACCCCTCTAGCATCCCACAACACCCCTCTGGCATCCCCCAACACCCCTCTAACCCCCCCAACACCCTCTAGCACCCCCCAACACCCTCTAGCACCCCACAACACTCCTCTAACTTACAACACCCTCTAGCACCCCACAACCTCCTCTAGCACCCCACAACACCCTCTAGCATCCCCAGCACCCTCTAGCACCCCAACACCCTCTAGCATCCCCCCAACACCCCTCAGCACCCCACAACACTCCTCTAGCACCCCCCCCCAGCCCCTCTAGCACCCCACAACACCCCTCTAGCACCCCACAACACCCCTCTAGCACCCCACAACACCCCTCTAGCACCCCACCTGCAGTGTTTACAAAGTCCCTGGAGGAAATGACTCAGCCAGCTCATGAGTACAGTGTTCCTGTTGGTGGGTATAAGTATTGTTCATCATGTGTTGTGTTGTTGGTTCCATCTACACGTGTTGGTTACAGTGGTCATGGTGAAGAATACTTTGTGAACGCTCTGTAAACACCCCAAGTGGTAGAGTCTTCTTTTGTTTACTTCATGATCCACGGTGACGACAACGGCTGAGAAAAATATCACTGAAGAACCTAAGTAAAAACAAGAATACAAAATATATATATATATCAATGGAGAACATTCCAGCTGGTCTGGCGTGAGTCAGAAGTTGTCCAAATGGGGAGTTTTATGGTGGCGTCATAGCATAAGACACCATCCAAAGTGACTCGCCCGTGTCTATTCCAGGCCCAATGCCACAATTTCAACATCTTAGCCAAGGTTTTGCTCGTGGCGTCACTACCACCTGCAGCAGTAGTTGGTAGGGGTGTGTTGCCAAGAAGTGTGTGTAGCAGGAGAGGATTTTTACCCCATCACAAGAAGAGCAGAAACATAACTTTGACGGGTTACAGGCAAAATTTCCATGTTGGGAGATAAATGTAACGACTGAAAATAGTCATACATTAAGTGAACTTAGAAAACATTATGTGAGAATCAGTGAATATTTCCCAAAGATATTACACTAATACCTAGAGCCAATACTGTATAAACCAACTGTACTGAAGAGTTTGGTCTGTGGGCTGCAGGTAGCATCAGCCTAGCTCAGAGGTCATCTCTTGGAACCCTTCATCACAGGAGGAGGAATGAACCCCTAAAATGGACGCCAGTTAAACCACCAGATAGTTACTGGGGGCCACAGCGGTCTCTCCCTCAGCAGAAAATGACCCAAGTTACTCCTGGTTGTAATAAACGTGTCAAGTGTGCTGACAAAATACCAAGTTAGTTATCATCCAAAGTGTTTGTGTCTCTGAACCTGTGTCATGCTGAGTCTCATGAGTGTTGCCATCCTCACGTCTGGCATTATTATATATTAGAGTATATAACATAAGTGTGGGAGGAGATAGTGGATCTCACGGTACACTCAGTCCAAACTGGTTTACTTCCGCTCCTTGTGTGACGTCACCTCACGTCACGGCATCCTCAGGGTTCCTATTAACTCCTTGTGTTGATGTAGGTGTTCGGAACCGTTGTTTCTAATGTTCGCAGCATCGTAATTCTTATATAATGTTTACGGGAATATGCACAGTTGGCCACAGGTACAGTGTTCCACCCCTCGGCCTTCATGCAGGACCTACTACATGTAAGGAAGATCACGACCACGACAGTTTGTTAGTCTTTTTCCACAAATGTTTTACTTAGAAATGAAATGACACCTACGCTATCCTGGGACCAGACTGCGTTTTTCAATGTTGTATTTCTCAAAACTGTAACACACCAAAGTACTATGCTCTATGAATCTACATAGTGAACACCTTTAAATTTCCATCATATATTGTTACTGTTTTCTTCAGCTACATGAAGCCGAATAAACTGCCACAGACATCTTAACTAACTTTCCAACTCACAACATGTACAGTATATTTCTTGTAAAATATACAGATCCCCACATCACTCCGATACTGTACTGTGGTAGAGCCTTTGTTACTCCCTCTTAACTCCTACACATCCCTCTCTTAACTCCTACACATCCTTCTCCCTATTCCTACACAGCCTCACCCGGTGTTGAGTTTGACATGATAGCTCTTAACCACATTAATAGTACTGCTGTGTGGCGCCTCAATCACAGACAGGTTCATTCTGTAAATACTCGATGATAACAAAGTGAGTGTGTGTGTGTGTGTGTGTGTGTGTGTGTGTGTGTGTGTGTGTGTGTAGGTGCAGTCACTCAAAAAAAAAATATCTGTACTTGGGGTGATCGATGAATTTCAGAATGAACACTGTGACTCTTGTTGTCTCGGTAGGGTTGTCAAAATTCATCATCCGTTGTGTCATATTTCTTTAATTGCAATTTTGTATAGATAGTTTTTTGAGTGACTGTACAGTACTTTTAAATAATGTATACTGTAAGACAATAAAATTAACAACAACTTCAAGGTATAAGGGGTAGTGGTGTGGTGGGGGTAGTGGTGTGGTGGGGGTAATGCTGTGGTGAAGAATATGTAATTTTTTCCTGGTTCACCGCTGCGGGGTTGTCTTGACAGCTAATCAAAACACCTTGATGATGATAACATAAACAACAACACAGGTGATTAGGTAACCCTCCTTCCTGCTGCTGCTGTTACTACTGCTGCTGCTGCTCCTCCCGCTGTTACTCCCGTTACTGGTGCTGGCTGCTCCTCCTCCCGCTGCACCACAACATATCACAGCACAGAGCCACCTCCATTAAACCATCTTACAATATCAAAGCCAACACAAGGCATCGGTGAT